CTACGCAACCGTGTGGGCTAATCGCCCTACACAAATCTTTCAGTTCGCTGATTACAGATTTGGCCGTTTCCCCAAATAACAACATCTGTATGTACATTCATATTGCATTTAATTATATATTTATGTTTCTTCAAGAATGTTAATTGTGAAACCTAACATTGGACCCACATGTCGTTTTTATAAGATTAAGCAAATCACAAAGTCTTCATTCTGAATTTTCCTTTTGCCTTGACTCTCCCGAAAACTCCTAATGATACAACATATTACACTACCCTTAAAAACTCCTAATGATAACAAACAGAGTATTTCGAAGGTCGAATACTAATTATTCTAAATAAACACAGTTTTTTTAAAAAAATCCTGCTGATGACTCGTTTTTCCTAAACATTTGCACGTTACTCATTTACTACTCCCTAAAGAATGACCGACCGTCTTTGTATATCTATATATTTCAAGCACAGCTTTGCCTCAAACCATTTGGTTGTGTCTGAAATCGGTTCAGATAAAGGAAAATTGGTGCTTGGTTAGTCGGACTCTTGACTTGTCTTTGCGATGTTGCCAATTATGCCCGTATTGGTCCATGTCATTTTCTTATCTAAGATATTGCCGTATTGGAAAATTCAGAAACGAATGATTCGCCCAAACGCTATTTACACCACTGAACAAGTCTTTAATTGGTTTAAATTATTTTTTTCTTAAAGTCATTACTAGTACAAGTAAATAACTCATAAGGATTTGACCCATTCAAGCTTTTAAGACGCAGTCAAACTCTTGAAACGATATTTCGACGTTAAACAGATCATTGAAAAGCTTGTCATTAATAACAAAATTATTTATATATATTGGATCAAGAAAAACTAGGGGAAGCACAGTTACAAATGGATTACATTAAACCTTATAGTCTTACATAAACGATAAAAATAGTAAATATATTAATGTTCCATAACTGAAAACCCTAGGCACATCTATACAAGGAGATTCCAAAGTCTTCTCAGAAAAATCATCCCCAAAAATCCATATATGATGATTATTATTATAATTATCAGATAATACGAAATTAGTGAATAATAATATGAACACACTCGACCTCCTCCTCTTGTCCTTAGAAGAGATCCTTAAAAAAACCGATATTTGACTGACTATCAATGAGATTTAGAGTTCCGGGTACGGGTCGGATATCTGACTCCCTACATCACCAGCTCAGATACCCAGCCGACATCAGGAGCTTCACCCGAATTCTGATCCGGATCCGGTTCAACCCGATCCATGCAATTCTCCTTGCTCAGTTTCTCAAACATCTTTGCTCGTAGCTCACGACCCGACTCCACGACCCGCTCCATTGCTGGCTCTTCCTCTAAACCATTCTCCCAAATATCCAAATTCCCGGGTCGGGTCGGGGTTGAAGGCAGACTCTGAAACCCAGGACCCAAGATGGATCCTCGGGGCGACCCGAATCCGGATTGGTAGCATCGTAACGGATTGTTGTAAGTCGGAGGAAAAGATTTCACCTTTTCAAACTGCAAGTTCCTAAACGACGTAACGGTGTCGTTTATAGAGCAAGATCCGAGTGATCGACTCAGTGACTGAGTCATCGGAGAAGACTCCGAGTCAGCTCTTGGGCTCATCGGCGGCGAGCCTGAAACAGGAGATATCGAGAGCTGAAACGCTCTCGCACAGGAATGACGAATCGGAGACGAAACGTCAAAGGAATCGACACGATCTGGGCTCCGATTCGGTAGATACCTAAGCTGATCCGGTGAGTGAGCAAAGAAACAAACTTTCCGGCGACAGTTACCGCCGTCTTTACATGGCTGAGTCCGGTAACGAAGTGGATGAAGCCAACACTCGAAAACTCCGTGAGCGAACTCGCAAGTGTCTCCTTTTTTGCAACTGCCTTTTCGGAAATCGGGACAAGCCGTCCCGGAGTAATGGTACTTCCTCGGATCCCTCCGGCGAGCTTTCTCTCCGGGATGAGCGTACGGACACTCCGTCCAATCATGGCTCCGGCCACGAGCGCACCTCCGGACTTTGAAATCGTACATGCGGAAATGATCACATGAGTAAGCATCGATTGGAGAGTCAGGACCCAAAAGATCCGAGTCAGAATCCGGATCCGGTTCGTTAGACGGCAGATACCGCTGCAACGCCGCCAAAGCTTCAAGCATGCTGCAATCTGGACTGTTCATTGCCGGCGAAAACATATCCGCCGCCGAAAAATCTTCAGAAACTGGCCATGGAGGAATTTCCACCGTGGGGTGTGTCCGGCGAGCTTCTCCGATCATCATCTTCTTAATCTCCGGCGATAAATCACATTCGTCTTTCTCAGTTTTGTTTTTCTGGTTTTCTCGGAGGCAAAAGAGCTCTTTTTTGGTTGCTGTTTGCTAATTCACTGGCAAAGGTTTATGTAGCTGAAATACTTAACCATGGTTTGGTTAAATGTATTTAACCATAGTTAAAGACTATCAGCCTAAGACTAGGAGCTGCCTTTCTATCGCAGTTAAAAGCTTAGTGAAAAAGTTTAGCATGACAGAGCTGTGAGTTACGAGTATGTAACAGCGGCTTGAGACTTCTCCACGGGATAGAATTGCTTGGATGTTTTCGTGATGTGGACGTTTATCAATTGACTTTGAGGAAGTTAGCGTGACCGACGTGTGAGCGTAAGGCTGCTTTTGGGTTATTAGATTCATTTGGAAATCTCGTTGGCTTCCGAAGTCGGTCGAGTTTTTTTAGATACGCTGAATGACGACAAAATAGATTAATTAATTATATTGTTTGTCTTGTTGCATATTATCCTCAATTCAATCCGAAGATTTAGCCTAATTTAGAATTTTAATGTTATTTGATTATATCGTCGCAGGCTGTTTTTAGTCTAATCCGAAATCATGGACTATAATCTGTTGCATTTTTAAAATCTTTTTAATCAGATTATACGTTATTTATTTCCTGATTTTTAAAGCTAATTAAAATTAAATGCTATGGAAATTTTTAATGGAAAATTTACGGATTACAAATTGATTAAAATTATATATAATAATGAAATAAAAAAAATTATAGAAATTTCTAAATCGACTTACTATATAAATGAACAACACTTCCTAAATTTCAGTTTGATGGTTTGATAAAAAAGGAGAAATGGATAAGAAATGTGTCGGATGAAGAAGACATGTTGGAACAGATTTGGATAACGTTCAAAGACATTAAAGGGGAAACATTTATGTTTCTTTGCTAAAATCGGAAAGCAATTCCATAATCCCCCCAAACCCAAATCGACTCTCATCTATCCTTTCTTACTACTTTATTCGTTTTCTCTTATATTTTTATATACCCCTGCTTACTATCAATAGTATATATTTTAATACCATTTTTTGTCGGTATTTTGATACAATTTAAACAATCTGATTTTCGGATTCAACGAAACGGTTGATACAGTAAATCATAAATGCAACCGGTAATAATAAATTGTTAAATGATTAAAACGATATAAAAAAGTTTAAACATCTTAAGTTGTTTATTAACAACAGCTAAAAAAATAGTAGTAGGTTGCTCGTTCCAATAAAATAGACTCTAATTCATATCTATAAATAGTATGTATATACACGAGTATTTTCGTGTTTTATTTTCATATTAGTATAATATAAAAGATTGTTATGAGGCCCCATAGATCTAACGAAGAAGACATAAGTTGCAAATATCTAAAAACGTGTAGCTCATACGACTCAACGCGCGAGCAATTATAATTTATCTTTATTTGGAATATAGTGAGATCGATGTATACATACAATGCCTTCGTTTTCATAGTCACTGAAGCGATTAAACCTTCGTGTATGTACGGACCAAAATATCTTTAGTGTCGTAGCTCTTACGGGCTGAATTGTTGTAAGTTCGAGTAAGTTCTATTTTTATTATTATTTTTTAAAAAAGGAAGACAAATTTGATTGAAAATGATTTATATAGTACACAATTGGGACCATAGATAACACATATTCACTCATTAATGCTTCTTTAAACATCAATTATTTCTTCCCATCAACTTGCAAATGCAGTCCAATGGAATGACGGACTTCAAAATCTTATATAGATTATTTCTCTTTTGATTTCTACTCGCTTAGATATTTATCCGACATTCACATATTTGGCAGCCTTACTTTTTTTTAATGGGAAGTTTGCACATAGGATAAATATACCTTGTCTTGTAGCACATTGTTTTTTTTCCGACTCTTGTAGCTCACATTTTATAAAATAATTAATATAAATATATATATATATATATACAGTTTTTAAAGAAAAATAAAAATTAAATATCTACCTTTCAACTGTTTAATAAAATTCGTACACTGTTATATTGCAATCCAAAACTCTATACTTTTTGTGTCATAAAATAATTGAATAAGAGATTCGCTTTTAAATATATATCTAAACAGCTCTACCGATGATGGTCTTAAAGTAAAAATTCTTATGGCTAATAGTCTAATACCTGGTGTTACTATTTTTTTATATATACAGAAATATTACATACTTGGCAATTCTATCGGCCTATAGTTTTTTTTTTTTCTTCTTGTGCATTAAATTTAGTAAGAAACTTGTGTCTTATTTAACCGTTCCAAAACTCAAATATCTAACAAAAGTAGATTTGCATTATTTAATTCGACGCGATTATATGGACTATATTGAACTAATGCCACTTGGAATTTGAAAAAAGGTTCAGCCCTGGGGAGGTAACTAGTAACTACACATCAAGGATGAGCAGGACATGTGGAATGGTATAGTGACAATTACTTATTTATCATCGATTTCTATATTGTTACATGAATCCACCAAATCACGTATCCCAAAATGCTAAGTAACCTATCAAGGTATTTGCTTCGTTAAAGGGCCTTCTTAAATAAATAATTTTAAACGTAAATTATACACCTAAACCAAACTCCCATACGGGTCCGGCTAGTGAAATCAGAACACGAGAATTGCTTTACAAAAACCGGGTTTTAGCCTTCTTTAAGACCGAAGTCGGAAAGTTGCTAATCTGTAGTTTGTTTTCGGTTCTCGCAATATATAGTGTGTCACAAATCAGGTGATTTATGCGATTGACGAAAATGGTAACAATAGCGTCAAAATAGGAACCCAATTATATGTCTTCTCGGATGTTTTTTATAATGTAAAGTAGCTAATGCATGTGATGTACGTAAAGAATATATACGTACACGCGTCGATATCACACATGATAAGAATGCCACCTCTTAAGGAAGCATATGAGGGATCATGCATGCATGCCCCATCCATCTCGACCGTTCATTACGCTTAAAATTTAATACTTTCTTATAAGATTCCACCAAACATTTATTATATTTTATAAAATATCTATTCCACGATCATGACTACTACGTGATCCCCTTTATTCCCCCTTAATTACTCAATATTTATTTGATACTATAATCACCATTTCTTGGTCTTATCCACCATAATATCAACTGTTGCTTTTCTTATAATTGTTCTGTTTTATTAAAACAATATTCACCCCACTTTTGAACATAGATGTATATGAAACATTAAAACTAGTAGTTTCTTAAACCACTGTTTATTACGAGTATATGTTATTCTTTTAAAAGGAATCATTGCATGGTTATTATGTGTTGGAAATTAAATGATATCTCTTTAAAAGGAGGAAAAATGGAATTAGAAGAAAAATGACTTAGAAACCATAATGAAAATTATAATGTATGAATTATATAACACCAACCGAAAAAATACTCTATCTTATGTACAAATACGTCAAATGTTTATTACCCAACGACTACAGTTAAACTACATTTAATATCAGAATTTACATAGCATGGAAATGTTTATTATCAGTATACTAACAGAAAATTGCAAACAAAACGTTCTAAAATATAACTATAATCGGTCTCCAAACGCGTTTATAAAATTGACTATCAAATAATACCAACCGAATCCGAATATTTTCTACTAAAATCTTCCAATAAGCAAAATTACTTTATCTGGTAAATGCTTCAATCTGTCAGATTCTCTCTAATACCGAAAAGGGATGAAAATCTTAATACGAAGTATCACGTGATCTGCCTCCAAGTCACGTGACACCGTTCAAACTGCAGACCACGTGTCTTATCCACGCAGCACGTGTCCTTGCTCGCAGTTGTTTGGATCAGAAAACACTGTTTACTTTCCACGTCCCGACAAAAAATATTTCAAAGGATTTTATTCACAAAATTGTACGGAAAGTAAAACGTGGCTGGATCATTTTTGGCGTTTGACCAGCCTACGTGTCCTTTCATAGTGACACAACACATCAGAGAATTTGAGCTTTCGCTATGATTTTGTCACGTGGCAACATCGGCCCGACTCCAACATCTTATGAGTTTTATCGTTGTGCGATTTTAAGCATAAGAACATTCGGGTTGACCCGTTTCAATCGGAGCACTACTTGTTATTGGCCCGTGGTCTTTTTTTTTTATTGGTCGTCGGCCAGTGGTCTAAAACAAAAATCAACTGAATTGTATTGTTTCGTTTTTGGCCTTGTTAGACTTTTTTGTTTTGTTTTGATCATAATCAATCAATGATGTGGTGCAGTAGTTTAAAGTTTTTTCCCAAATACTAATTCTAGTGAACTTTGAGATTTTGCATTTTAACTTCAATCAATTTTTGGCGTTCTGTAGATTTCTGGAATTTGATCTGATTTTTTTCTTCTGATTTGATAAAAAAATCATATCCATTTCAACACAAGTATATGCTTTTAATATATGAGAAATACAGAAAAAACTATCAAAATATATTATCAAGGCCCTATTATATGTGTAAGAGTACTTTTTTTAGGTATTAAATTTGTTGATGCTTATGCCACCATTAGCCCGACTTATATTATAGTGGACTCCATGGATGGCCTTTATAGACATTTTAAGTTGTAAGAAAACTTGAAATTTCATAAACTTTGAAAAAATTAGTTTTACCATTCGGCCTATGATTTATTCGGTCACAGTGTTTTATGTCAAATTTGTTGCAGATCTAAAAGCTGGAGAATTTTCCCAAACTTTTTCACAGTATAGGTTTTTTTCAAAGAAAGTAAATAAATAAATTTATAATGTTAGAATTCCTTCATATATTTAAAAAGAATGTTGGGCTGTGTGGATAAAAAAGACAGTTGGGCTGTAAATATATCATGTTGGGCCATTAAAAATCACCTTGGTTCGAAGGTCGAACTTGGTACTGAAACTATTAAAAACCTAGGCACATGATCATTTCAATTTTCACCTCATGAGAAAAATACACATGCCCTTGGTTAATAAAATATCATCACCATGATTCTTTTGCCTTAAGAGCTAGGTATGATTAGGATTAGTAATACATTAAAATTGTTATAATATTTTCCCTCTGACATGATACACTACTGTAGTTATAATTTTTTCTCTCTGAGGTAATAGTAAAGAATTTTAGTACACTAACTTATCTCTTTTTCTCTATTTCTTTGGACCCTATCAAATTTCACCTCTCCAATTGTATCTCCATCCAAATTTTGAATCGAGACTCTCGAGTGAAAGCGTACACAAAACGGGCCTGGATAATCGCAATATCGACTTTTGGACATGGAAGAATATGTTACAACGGCATGGCGTGAATCTGACATCAATAACGTAGAGACCCAAGATTTTTGAAAACGAGAGGACATGAGTAAGTGGTTGCAAATGTAGGAGGCACTTGTTCAATTAGTTGTCCAAAAACAGAGTATATATGATGATTCTAAGTCCAACCAAGTCCATGCCATGAATTAGGTCAAAAAGTGTGATATCAAAAATATGTATTTCGTACAATTCAATTATAAATTGTCAAACAAAATTAATCATATAAGGATGTTGATTGTACAACAAAAAGGATGTTATGTAGCAAATTACATCTCTAGTTTAACACCTCAAATATTAATTCGACTCGAGATAAACATGGTGATGATAATATACTTATATATTCACGATATATATACCTAATAAGCCGTGGGGTACCTAATATCATGAAGATGAGTGGGAAATATATTAATAGGACTATTTTTTTTTTGTCAATTTTTAAAAGAATAACATTGTACAATAATATAATTGCATCATCGCCTCAACGTTTGTAGCTACGACCTGTTTCCACCATTTGCATCACGGTATTTATAACGAGAAACACATGCTCGATCTAAAACAGTTATTATATGAATTATTTATACATTATATCGTCGCTGTATATAGAGATCGTGCAGGTCAGGCAACATTAATTAATCCATTTGTAAAACATCATCCCTTTCTCTCTCTCTATGGACTCTATCAAACTATAATACTATATAAACATCATCTCTTCCGATTGGCGATTGCATCTCCTTTCATATATCGACCATCGAGGTTTGACTCTCAAGTAAAAGAGCACGCAAAAATGGATCGTGTTGCATTGCGAGATCCATTTTTGGACATCGAAAAAAACGTCACAACGATACATGATAAATTAAAATCACGCGATTCTGAAATCAGTAAAACCAAGTCAAGAAGAAATCGGATTGCCATTGCATTTTGCTTGTCTCTCGTTCTAGTCGGAATCTCAGGTATTTGCATTTCTTATCTCTCTTTAATTTACATTATACATTATATGTTTTTAGTATCCCGTAATCAACTAATAGCAGAATCGAGTTTTGAGTGGTCTTTATAGTTAACTATATTTCCATTTATGAACTAATATATATGTATATATAAAGTAGAAAGTTCGAAACCAAATATCATTTTTGCTTCGGTTAGCTAGAAGGTTTTGGTTTCGTCTTGAATTGATAGGTTATATAAACCATTATCAAAAATAATGAAGTTTTAAATTAATTTGTTTAATTCGATCCCGGCTACATTTTGTTTGGATATGATTAAAATAAATAATTAAATCAGTTTATTTCTTTTTTGAATTGGGTTGTTTCGGATGTAGTTAAATTGGACACACCTTAACCAAAATATCCGAATTTTTTTTACAAAAGGTTTTCAAATTTTAAATGCAGGAAAATAATGTCTGAATTTGTTACAAATAAAACTACATATTAAATGAAGTCCATAAAAATACAAAGAAACGAAATTACGTACAATGCAACAGTATGAATCATCACTCTATGAAATACTTTTCTTGTAAAATTTTATACTAGGGTTTACATTCAGCGGACATACCGGGCAAGAAACTGATGATACCAAAAGTAACGACGAAAAAGAATCGATTGTAACGTCCAAAAACGGCGTCGTGGCGGCCGATCACGAGAAATGTTCAGAAATCGGCGCCGATGTGCTTGGACGACTCGACGGCACTGCCGTGGACGCAGCAGTGGCCGTCGCGTTTTGCTTAGGTGTAGTGAATCCAACGTCGAGTGGAATCGGCGGTGGAGCCTTCATGGTCGTCAGGTCATCAAACGGCTCGGCGTTAACTTATGACATGCGAGAAACCGCTCCATCGACTGCTCACCAGGTTCTTCTCATTATAACTACAACGTTACCATTTTTTTACATGATAAAAATCAATTATATTGGTCGCAACGAAACAAGTTTAAAACCACTAAATAGCAAGTTCACATGAAAGTATGAAACAATAACGTTTTTTCAGTACCACAAAATATGTGGTTATTATGATATACTATAAGAACTTTTCTAGTAGGCGAAATTTTGTAATTTTTTTTTTAAAGTGAATTAATTGTGTAATAGGATATGTTCGAGGGCAAAGAGGAAGAGATTATGAAAGGACCATTATCTGTAGCAGTGCCAGGAGAGGTAGCCGGACTTTACGAAGCGTGGACGAGAAACGGCCGCCGTGTGGATTGGAAACTGTTGGTCGAGCCGTCTATCAAGCTGGCTCGAGACGGTTTCAAGGTTGGTTCGCATCTCGCCTTTGCGCTAACCGTACCGGACGTCGCGAATAAGGTCATGAACGATCCTGGTTTGAAGAATGTTTTTACTGATGGAAATGAAGTGTTGAAGAAAGGTGATAACTGTACAAACGCCAAACTCGCTGAGACATTGGAAAAAGTGGCGGAGAAAGGGATGAAAGCGTTTTACGAAGAGGATGTGGCGGAAATGCTTGTGGACGACCTGAATGAAGCTGGTGGGAACATGACTTTGGATGATCTGAGGAGTTATAAAGTTAACGTGGTCGAACCGATGGTTGTTGATGATGTTTTGGGGTATAAAATACAAGGAATGTGGCCTCCCTCTAGTGGAACGCCAAGTTTTGCAATGGTGAGTGATCAAACTTGTTCTTTTCGAATATAACAAGCTTTTCATTTTTTCTTTTTTTGGTGTTGGGAACACAAACAGGTGATGAATGTAATGGAGAGATACAACGACTTGAAAACATCAGATAGGAATCTTGCTCTGCATCGTCTTATAGAAGCCATGAAATATATGCTTGCAGCTCGAATGGATCTTGGAGACCCTGCGATTGTTGATGGAATAGACAAAGCTGTGGAGAAAATGGTCTCTAAGTCATTTGCCGAAAAAATCCAGGAGGAAATATCCGATGACACGACATACGATCCAGAACATTACCTTGACAAGTAAGTGATTGATTTAACTGAGTTTTGATAGAGCCTGCTTATGAATTAATTTTTTTTTTTAAAAACAGATATAGCCAGCTTAAGGACCAAGGGACGAGCCATTTCTCTGTAGTGGATAGATATGGAAACGCAGTGTCGATGACTACAACTGTGAATTATGCGTTTGGGTCAGGTTTTATGTCGCCTTCTACGGGTATTATACTCAACAACCAGATGGCTGATTTCTCTATACCAACGGGAGGCACTTCTAATAGCCTTCCTCCTGCACCTGCCAATTACATTGCGCCACATAAGAGGCCTTTGTCTTCTATGATGCCTCTAATCATCACAAAGGTAATTTAACAACACAAAACCCAACACAGGGGTTTCGGTTTATTAAAAGTCTCAACAAAACAGAACAAAAACAGGGGATTATAGATAGTTAACTGTTGGTTTTTGTTTTGGTATTTCTTCACTCTAAAATAATGTTGTATCCTCTATGAAACAGAGGCAAAATATAGGAATTTTAGGTTCATTAAGGTCTCAACAAAATTTAACAAAAACAAGAGGTTGTAGGTAAATAACTATTGTTTGTTCTTCTTATCCGAATCGTTTTTTTTTTTTTTGTTTCGTTCTTTTTTTCTGGTAGAACAATGAGCTAGCCGGAGTTATTGGTGCGAGTGGTGGGATTTACATTATTCCGGCAGTGATCCAAGTGTTCCTCAATCATTTTGTCTTCGACATGAGTCCTCTAGAAGCTGTAAACAGTCCAAGAGTGTACCACAAGGTAATTGCATCAAAGACAAAACACACAATTTTTCTTCCAACAACTTTTTGATCAAAGGAGTTGTTTTTTTGTTTTATCTTGTGCAGTTAAAGCCAAACGAAGTGTTATACGAGGACTGGAAAGTGTACAATGGAGATCACATCTTGCTTGAAGAAGATACTCGAAAGGTGTTAGAGAGTAAAAATCATGTGCTAAAGCTTACAAAACAAGGAGCGATTGTGCAATTAGTTGTTCAAAACAGAGTAGGTGATACTAAGACAGATTTGACGGCAGTTAGTGATCTCCGGAAAGGTGGCAAGCCAGCTGCGGCTATTGCTGCTCCAGCTCCTGCACCTGCTCCTTCCTCTATGTTTTGATTTTACCAGCCACCATAATTTCCTTCAAAAACAACAAGTTTTTTATTTAATATATCTAAATCTCATCTTTCATGAATCATTTGTTTTGAAATAATTTGTAATGAGATTTCCAATTCATTCGATCGACATAATCCAAAAATTGTATGTCTGTATTTAGTGAATCCTAACCAAACCAGTAATCGTGGGTTGAGAATTCCTAACAGTGGTTGAGCACTTAGAGGCCGGAAGTGCCAGTTAAGCTCCCTTTACTTGGAACTGACCCTCGTCTGTTAAACCGACTTAGTCAATACGACATTCCGCGAGCCTTAGCTTAGTCAATACGACATTCCGCGAACAATCAACTAGTTAATATGGTATCAGAGCCTCGACTCATGTTATGATTGAATGAATCATTGTTTATGAATGATTGTTGTGAATGTTCTGGAAAACGTTCCCTTCATCATGTCTATTTCAAATCCAAATCCTCCAACCATCGATTCTCCGTTTGCAATTTCCACTTTACCAAAATTAAAAAGCCGTTCTTCCTCATCTAGTATCAATTCTCTCTACGAAATTGAATACGTCCCTGGAGATCAGCTACCCGAAACCACACTCCCTCTTGTTAATCCGTATGAATACTCTGCCAAAAAGCCTAGTGCTTTCTCGGTTAAAGGTGTTCGAGAACTCATCAAGCCATCCTCCAATCGAAAAGTCATGGAATATGTCCAGTCCAGCAAATTCTCATCCTGTCAAGTCCCAGCAACCGAAGAAGAACAATTCATCTCGCTCAACATACCGGAGAACCTTCCTAGGTTATGGCAACAACAAGGGTATACTCACCTACACTTTGGTGTAGTCCGAATCGGTTTGACCTTACATGCTCGAAAAGGTCTACCTGTTGTAGCAAGAATCGCCTTAGTCGATTCAAGACTAAGATCCTACCAACAAGCTTGCATCGGAACAGTCCAAACAACATTAAACGTCGGAACAGTATTCGTGACACTGTTTCCAAACTTTAATGTCTCGCTACAAGATCCAAATCTTCTGAAGACACTCAAGGTCCAACTTCAGCTCACCGGAGCTCCTATGCAAGAAAAAAGTGTCGTGGCAACCCTTCATCATCAGATAGTCTATCGAATACAAGATCATGCCTTAGATCTCGTACTACCCTCTTCTGATGAAGCACTTTACCTAGAAGTCACTTCAGCATCTCAAGCACCAAACTCCATCCAGATCCCTCGTCAAATATCTCGCGAAGAGCTGCTCCGCCGATTACCAGAATCATGGATCACCAGCTACGAGAAGCTGCACCAAGCGGTTCAAACACCGATTCAATCCTCTGAAGTCAGCTTTCATTCACGAAATGATGGAACAACCGAAATCAAGTTCGAGAAACCAAGATCATCCTCATTCCGCAAACAACTGTTCACTCAATTTGCTATCCAAATTGACGAACGCGAATTCTATAGTCCAGCAAAAGAACAAAATCCCAAACCAATCTCTTTTGGACAAGACGGATCGGTTTTATATCCTTTCAAGGATGAAGACGGACATCAGTTTTTCGATATCTGTTCCTGCTCAGCATGTGAAGAAGCCATGTACGAATCCGATGACGAGATTCGCACAAGGAGAAGAAAGAAAAAAGATCCACTCTACAAAAGATATCTAGAAGGAGATCCCACCGTCGGTCCTCTCGGTGAAGGTAACGGGCGATACGACTTTATAGTCCAATATTCGGAAAAGAAAGATGAAAATCAAATCATGATGATCAACACCGAAGACTTCCCTCCTTCAAGCGACTTTACCAAGGACAACATCGCACATAGCCCGAAGATACTCACTCGAGCAATCAACTCTTCTGGACCAGATCAACTAAGCCAAGGAGAAAAGGTCCTCAACTGGCAAACTGAGAATGCCATCGCTCAAAATCAACTTCTCAAAACAATAAATTACAAGGTTGATCAGCTAACGGAAAATTACATCAAAAGGCAAACTAGCCTTCAGAGCTCGATAACAGAAATCCATGGCCGGCTTAACAATCTTCATCAAGAAATGATGGCTATGGCACAAAACATGATGGTCAATACAGCACAATTCCGTCATAAAGAAGCAGAGACAGCCAGTCTCAAAGCCCAGCTAAAAGATCTTCAAAGAAGCCTCGAGAGTATGATTTACAATCAGAATCCTACGAGTTCTTATCCTTTTGGTGGAATGCCTATGTACCAAGGCACCTACTCCCCAGGATTTCTCTCCGGCTATACGAATCAAAGGCCAAGAACACCGGCCCCCGGATTCCTATCACACCCTCAAGAAGAATTTTGACATATCTATTGAGACACGAGGAATGAGATGGAAGGCTTTCTACAAAGCTTTCACAACAATCCCACGTCTATTCACGGTCGAAGGAGTCATAGCTCAAGATTTCGAGAAAATCAAAGAAGAGATCGCAATAGTCTCATGTGCAGACTCTCACACAGACTTCCTTCAAAAATGTGACAAACCGTTATGGCTGAATTCAGAATTCTTCGTCTCTCTACCTTTCAAGGAGAATGTCCATACCACTCCGACAAAAGCAAGTCACGCAGGCATGCCACCAACATTATTGACACAAGCAAATGAAGAATGTGACCAACTAGTAAAACAAGGAGTTGTCTCATCAACAAATTCACCTTGGGCATGTAAAGCATTCTATGTGAACAACCGGGCAGAACAAGCAAGAGGAAAACTCAGACTGGTAATTGATTACAAACCACTGAACCAATATCTACAAGACGTCAAATTTCCTCTACCAAACAAGAAGGCATTCCTTCAACACCAACAAGGAGCCACCATATTCTCCAAGTTTGATTTAAAGTCTGGTTTCTGGCAACTTGGTGTTCATCCTGATGAAAGATACAAAACAGCTTTCTGCCTACCCAACAGACATCTCCAATGGAATGTTCTACCTTTCGGATTAAAGACAGTGCCATCGCTATTTCAGCAAGCGATGCTTCGTATATTTAAGCCTCTTCTCCACACGGCTTTAATATACATCGACGATATTCTGTTATTCTCGACAAGCGAAGAAGAGCATATTCGGTCTCTCCGACAATTTCAAGGCATAGTTGAAAAATATGGAATTATGCTCTCGGCCCGAAAAATGATAATAGCCCAGCCCAACATCGACTTCCTTGGAATGCAAATCACAGAAGGAAGATTCACACCGCAAGCCCATTTAGCTACAGCACTCCTCGATTTTCCCGACGAAAATCTCACGCGGAGACAAGTCCAACAATTCCTTGGGGTAATTAATTACATCAGCCACTTTATTCCACAACTTTCGCAAATAACTAGACCACTCCAGAAGATGTTGACAAAGAATCCACCCACGTGGGCTACCAAACAAACCGAAGCAGTCAAAAGCCTAAAAAAGGAGATACAGAAGCTACCACCTTTAAAGATTCCCTCTACAGGCCTACGAATACTGCAGACTGACGCAAGTGACAAATATTGGGGAGCCATTTTATTCGAAGAAATAAATGGTAAACGTCAAATCTGTGGATACAAAAGCGGACGCTTTAAAGATTCCGAGATGCATTATCACTCTACATTCAAAGAAATCCTAGCGGTCAAGAAGGCTATCGAGAAATTCGAGTTTCATCTGATAGGACATAAATTTCGCATCGAAATGGATATGTCTTCTTTCCCAAAGATGTTACAATTCAAACAGAAGATGGTCCCACATCAACAATTATTGCGCTGGAGCGAATGGTTTTCGAAGTACGACTTCGAATCCTTCTATTTAAAGGGTGCAAAGAACACTATTGCCGACATGCTCAGCCGAAACCCTCCTAAAGAAGTTCATATGATGGCATATGCCTCAGCTTCCTCAAGTTCAGAAAATCAATACTATGACTTCGACGCAAACATGCCTCTCGACGCTCACCAGCTCATCGACAAGAGGACTTTACATGAGCATCTTCGACACAGGATTTTCAAATACCAATCCATCATCCTGTCCAAATACGGAATCAACTGCCACTTCATTGCACCAATGGGTATTCACCCTGATCACCCGTTCGCACATCTCTACAGGATCGAGAATACAGCAATACCGGAAGAAGTTCTGTGTTTCCTCTGGTACCTCTGCTCAGTCTACACCATCGGCTCCAAAACGAGAACCTGATATTCATGAAATCTATTCAAGCGATGAAGATATGGAGTACAGGCCTCCCAGGCAGCAAGAAATACCGACAAAACCATTTGCCTCTAAAGTCATGGTCTTCACGTTTGATGACATTCTTTTCGAAAAATGGAATGATCGTCTCGATGAATTTCATGCATGGATGAATTCTGAAGCAATCACGTCTCCCTTAGAGCTTGTGATTCAGCAGTTTACGGCCCGACTATCTGGAGCACTCAAAGAATGGTGGAATTCACTTGGTGAATACAGACAGCAGCAAGTCTATCAAACGACAATACCGCTACTTCTCGGAAAAATTCATAGAGAATTTATCGGTACACCCACACATTTGAAAGAACAGCTTCAAAAAGAATTCTTTACTGCAAAATGCTGCTCATTGAAGAAAAGAGACCTAGCTAAGCATTTTGAGCGACAGACGCGACGTTATTACGCTCTTAATGGTCTCAACAATCCAAGCCTTAAGCAAGTGCATCTCTCTTCGATTGATGACTACCTCAGTCAACAAACGAAGCTATACATCAGAGATCAGGGCCAGACAGTGGAAGATATTTCCATTGGCCAAATACAGCAATATGTCTTCCGTACACTGGACAAACTCTGCAAGCAAAAGGAGTTTTGGATGGAGTTCATGGATAAATCAAAGCAACTATCCAGGATCTGTGCAAGACCAGACCTATCCATCAAATGTTTAAAATCCAAGAAGACATGTTCGTGTGAAGATCGTAGCAAATCACGGAGATTCAGAAAAACGTCTCACAAGCGTTTCAACAAATTCAGACGCAAGCGATTTTTCAGAAAGAAACGAAGCTTCAAGAAATCAACAAAGTGTTTCCTATGTCGCAAAGAAGGCCACTTTGCAAAAAACTGCCCAAACAATTCAAAGAAAAGGAAGCAGTACCTAATCAGCTCAATCTCAAAGATCGCACCAGACCTAGATTTCGACAAGCACGATCTGGAATCAGTACTATCCTATGATAGTGATGAACAAGATGCGATATGTGGATACTCGGATTATGACTACTCATCCGACTCCTCCTCCTCAGAAGAAGAAGTCAATAACGACTGCTGTTTCAAAATCACTCGTATGCCGCAAAAGGAAGAAATTCAAACACCACATCTGCCAGTTACGATCTTTGATCCATCACAAAAAGAGAAGCCAGTTCATGCAATTGCGTTCATCGACACAGGAGCTTATACGACGATAATGAACCCAAAAATTCTCCCGACTTCTATGTGGCTACCATATCAACAAGTATTTCGAGTGGCAAATTCGGGTTCATTGACGGTCAAACTCAAGTCCAAACCGGTGACGATCGAACTTTTCCCAGGCTGTCAAATTACAACAGAAGTGCTTGGATCCTCAGCACCAGGAAAAGATTTGATATTAGGATGGGATTCCTATCACACCCTCAAGAAGAATTTTGACATATCTATTGAGACACGAGGAATGAGATGGAAGGCTTTCTACAAAGCTTTCACAACAATCCCACGTCTATTCACGGTCGAAGGAGTCATAGCTCAAGATTTCGAGAAAATCAAAGAAGAGATCGCAATAGTCTCATGTGCAGACTCTCACACAGACTTCCTTCAAAAATGTGACAAACCGTTATGGCTGAATTCAGAATTCTTCGTCTCTCTACCTTTCAAGGAGAATGTCCATACCACTCCGACAAAAGCAAGTCACGCAGGCATGCCACCAACATTATTAACACAAGCAAATGAAGAATGTGACCAACTAGTAAAACAAGGAGTTGTCTCATCAACAAATTCACCTTGGACATGTAAAGCATTCTATGTGAACAACCGGGCAGAACAAGCAAGAGGAAAACTCAGACTGGTAATTGATTACAAACCACTGAACCAATATCTACAAGACGTCAAATTTCCTCTACCAAACAAGAAGGCACTCCTTCAACACCTACAAGGAGCCACCATATTCTCCAAGTTTGATTTAAAGTCTGGTTTCTGGCAACTTGGTGTTCATCCTGATGAAAGATACAAAACAGCTTTCTGCCTACCCAACAGACATCTCCAATGGAATGTTCTACCTTTCGGATTAAAGACAGCGCCATCGCTATTTCAGCAAGCGATGCTTCGTATATTTAAGCCTCTTCTCCACACGGCTTTAATATACATCGACGATATTCTGTTATTCTCGACAAGCGAAGAAGAGCATATTCGGAATCTCCGACAATTTCAAGGCATAATTGAAAAATATGGAATTATGCTCTCGGCCCGAAAAATGATAATAATCCAGCCCAACATCGACTTCCTTGGAATGCAAATCACAGAAGGAAGATTCACACCGCAAGCCCATTTAGCTACAGCACTCCTCGATTTTCCCGACGAAAATCTCACGCGGAGACAAGTCCAACAATTCCTTGGGATAATTAATTACATCAGCGACTTTATTCCACAACTTTCGCAAATAACTAGACCACTCCAGAAGATGTTGACAAAGAATCCACCCACGTGGGCTACCAAACAAACCGAAGCAGTCAAAAGCCTAAAAAAGGAGATACAGAAGCTACCACCTTTAAAGATTCCCTCTACAGGCCTACGAATACTGCAGACTGACGCAAGTGACAAATATTGGGGAGCCATTTTATTCGAAGAAATAAATGGTAAACGTCAAATCTGTGGATACAAAAGCGGACGCTTTAAAGATTCCGAGATGCATTATCACTCTACATTCAAAGAAATCCTAGCGGTCAAGAAGGCTATCGAGAAATTCGAGTTTCATCTGATAGGACATAAATTTCGCATCGAAATGGATATGTCTTCTTTCCCAAAGATGTTACAATTCAAACAGAAGATGATCCCACATCAACAATTATTGCGCTGGAGCGAATGGTTTTCGAAGTACGACTTCGAATCCTTCTATTTAAAGGGTGCAAAGAACACTATTGCCGACAGGCTCAGCCGAAACCCTCCTAAAGAAGTTCATATGATGGCATATGCCTCAGCTTCCTCAAGTTCAGAAAATCAATACTATGACTTCGACGCAAACATGCCTCTCGACGCTCACCAGCTCATCGACAAGAGGACTTTACATGAGCATCTTCGACACAGGATTTTCAAATACCAATCCATCATCCTTTCCAAATACGGAATCAACTGCCACTTCATTGCACCAATGGGTATTCACCCTGATCACCCGTTCGCACATCTCTACAGGATCGAGAATACAGCAATACCGGAAGAAGTTCTGTGTTTCCTCTGGTACCTCTGCTCAGTCTACACCATCGGAATCACCTTTGATATCCAATGGCTTTACCAGCACGTCAACGCTGTACAAAACCGAAGAAATTGCTTCTCCACATTCTTGACATGGTTCACACCACTGATTGTTTGGAGCGGGAAACTAAGAAAATCGGCAAAAGCAACAGGCCTACCATTCAAGAAACTAAAGAGACAAGGAGGTCTCAATCCGTTCTTCAATCCTCACACGATCTACTTCTTCCATCGTCCTGTTCAGATCAACTCCAAATCCAGCAAAATTCATGCATTACCCACTCTTATCCATCACAATGACTATCATAGAGGAGTTCGTCCAGATTTCAACCTCAATGACGTTAAAGCCTACGAAGACTTTCAAACACATGCATTCCGTCTCAACAATGCCAGACAGACCTTCCCAATTCCTTTCATTCCAAACTGGTCGTACTATCCGATCGATTACCAGATGAGTCTAGACGAAGACGTTATGTTTTCCATGTCTAAACGAAACATAGAAGACATACCAGTTACTAATGAGATCAAGAAGGAGAAGGAACCAATGTCCCAAGACTGTCCACCAGAATATTTTCAGGACGCTCAGCTACCAGATGACGCGATGAATATCGATGAAATTGGAAAAATGTTCAACATTGAAATCAATGAAGAGTCACAGACTGACTACGAAGATCCTACACCAGAATATGAGTGCACAGGAGAATACTATGGATGCTGCGACAAACATATCATCGAGTTCGAGATCGATCACTAAAGTACTTATCTTTAAGGTACTTAATTATGTTTAATTATGAGTGTGCTTAAAACCATGTAATATAAATAATGATGTAAGTGTGATGTATGCGATGATGTAATCGCATAAGTGATGTAAGCGCTTATGTCAGCGCGCACTATCTCCCACCTATAAATATGTGTGCACCCCCTTGTAAGAAATCATCTCAGATTTTCTAATAAAACCTCTCTCTAGAATTCTCTCTCTAGAATGAGTTTCTAAATACTCTCTAGTTTTCCAGACTTCTCGACATCTTCATAAGCCTTGATTTCTTTCTTTCATTCATGAGTTGCGATCTGCTCCTCTTCTCTAGTTGAGTCTAGTGGTCTGTCAATACGACGGTCAAGTCTAGTGGTCTGTCAATACGACGGTCAAAAGACAGTCGTGGGTTGAGAATTCCTAACAGTGGTTGAGCACTTAGAGGCCGGAAGTGCCAGTTAAGCTCCCTTTACTTGGAACTGACCCTCGTCTGTTAAACCGACTTAGTCAATACGACATTCCGCGAGCCTTAGCTTAGTCAATACGACATTCCGCGAACAATCAACTAGTTAATATGGTATCAACCCTAGATTCTGTATATATATAAAAAAAACTTCAGTAGGATCAAAACCAGAAAAAAAAAAATATTTTAGCACTAAGAAAAAAAATCCACAAATTCTTAGTTCTCTCTTCTTCTTTAAAAATGCCAAAATAGATTCTAGGTTTTAACGAAAAAAAAAAACCAACTGAAGAACTCAAATACGTTAATTATTTATTTTTCCGTTATTTTTACTTATCTTTTCGGAAAACCAGTAAAAGCTAAACAAACTGATTGGTTTATTATTCTTGCGTGCAGAGTTTTGTTTAGATGAAAAATCAGACTGCCTAGTGCCTATCACCACCACCAACTTAGAAATATATATATACGAAAAGGGCCAACTCAGAATTCAACTCGCTTTTGGACCCCAATTCACTCTCTTCTCTCTCTCTCCTAGATCGAAAAGGGAAAGGGATTGGGATCGAAGATGGGTCACAAAATCCTCATCGACCCTCTTCTTGGAATCGACCAAGATACAGTCAGAGTGAACAAAGAGAAGAAGAAACAGAGAACAATTCTGAAGATTTCTCTTTGTCTGGTTCTGATTCTTGTCGCAATTTCAGGTCTGTTTCTGTCCTTTCTTACTCCTTCCAATAATCCAAGGAACAGTTCTATGCTCCTGTTCCGGTACAAGCCTACTAGATAATAACACGATCTTATTTGACTAAGACTAGTGAAAGCCGTTGACTTTTGCAACTATCACAGAAAGTTGAATCCTTGATCTCTGTAGGCTATTGCTTTAGTGACAACATAACAATTTGGTTGTGGAGAGAAGCGATCAATCACAATCTTAGCCATGCAACCGTTGGTGAATCGATCGAATCAGAGAACGGTGTTGTGGCGGCTGACGACGGCCGGTGTTCCGAGATCGGTGCTTCTATCCTCAGAAGAGGCGGACACGCGGTGGACGCCGCCGTGGCTACTACCTTATGCGTCGGTGTTGTGAATCCGATGTCCAGTGGAATCGGTGGTGGATCCTTCTTGATCGTTAGCTCGACGAAAGATTCCAAAGCTGAGGCCTTTGACATGAGAGAAACCGCTCCATTAGCTTCTTCAAAGGTCAAAGCTTTTTTAAAAAAAATCCTTTCTTGATTTAGTCTCAGTTAGTTATAATGTGGTTACATTGATTCAGGATATGTATAAGAACAATGCGAATGCGAAATCCATTGGCGCATTGTCCATGGGAGTTCCAGGTGAGATAGCCGGACTTTACGAGGCTTGGAAACGGTACGGTCGTCTTCCATGGAAACCGCTTTTCAAGCCGGCTATCGAGCTAGCCCGAGGCGGGTTCGTGGTGGCTCCTTATCTCGGACGAGCCATATCGAGTCACTCTTCTATGATACTTAAAGACCCGGGTTTGAGGAACGTCTTCTCACGAAACGGACAGGTTTTAAAACCCGGTGAGACTTGCTATAACCCGGAACTTGCTCTGAGTCTAGAGACTATCTCCGAGCAAGGACCGGGAGCGTTTTACAACGGGACAGTAGGAGAAAAGCTAGTTAACGACGTGAAAACAGCAGGAGGGATCATAACAATGGATGATTTAAGAAGCTATAAAGTCCGAGTCACCGATGCAATGTCGGTGGATGTAATGGGATACACGATCCATGGAATGCCTCCTCCTTCAGGAGGAACAGTCGGTTTTCCGATGGTTATGAACATCTTGGACAGCTACTCGGAACTATACACTGGTTCTGGAAGGGATCTTGGTCTGCACCGTTTGATAGAAGCAATGAAACATATGTTTGCTGCTCGGATGGATCTTGGAGACCCTGAGTTTGTTAACATAACGAACGCTATGAACCAGATGCTCTCCAAGTCTCACGCGGGAGAAATCCAAAAGAGGATTTTGGACAACACAACGTTCCCTCCTGAGTACTATTTGAACCGGTGGAGCCAGCTCCGAGACCAAGGGACGAGCCATTTCTGCATTGTGGATGCGGACAGGAACACAGTGTCGATGACCACAACCGTTAACTACGTTTTTGGTGCTGGTGTTTTGTCGCCGTCCACTGGAATTGTACTGAACAACGAGATGGATGATTTCTCTGTACCGGCGGAGATCACTCCTGACAAGCTTCCTCCGGCGCCTACTAATTTTATTGAACCAAAGAAAAGACCATTGTCTTCCATGACACCTCTAGTAATCACCAAGGACGGTGAGTTTGTGGCGGCGCTTGGAGGAAGTGGCGGAATGAATATAATCCCGGCGGTGATTCAAGTGTTCCTTAACTGCTTTGTCTTGAAGATGAAACCTTTAGAAGCTGTAGAGAGTGCAAGAGTTTACCATAAGGTAATTAAAATGCATATATCATCAGATGTTTACTAAACATTCAAAATGAAATAATTTTTCATTTGCTTTCGTTTTTGGTGGTTGTTTGTTGCAGTTGATACCGAATGTTGTTCGATATGAGAACTTCACGGCGATTAACGGCGATCACATAGGAGTAACAGAAGATAGCAAGATGTTTTTAGCAGAGAGGGGACATGAACTCGAGGAGCAATCAGGAGGAGCTATTGTTCAACTTGTTGTTCAGAGTTTCAAGGAAGAAGAAGGAGAGGTGATCAATGAAATTGGAAGGAGAATTGGGAAAGATTCTTTTAAGAAATCGAAACCATTCAAGGGATTACTCACTGCAGTTAGTGATCCTCGTAAAGATGGGAAGCCAGCTGCAGTTTGATTTTCATATTTTTCTCATTCAAGTCCCCATTTTCTATCATGTAAAGTTAATAAGATGTATATAAAACTCCAAAAAATATCTCATTTAACTAGTAGGAAATATGAGAAAGATCCTGTTTTTATTAGCAGCAATGGCAAAACTGAGATAATACAAGAGAAAATAACACTTAAATTACAGAATGATTATAAATTTGTATATTACAGCTCTGGTAAGAGCAAAATCAAACCAAAGTTATTACATTATTCTCACCATTATTAACCGTATGAATATTTTCAAAGGAGGTTATATATCTCTTCTCTATGCTTGAAGGAGATTATAAAACATTTCGAAAAGTTTCTATAAAATAACGAAACCTTACTTCCCCAAACAAAGACCTCCTCGAATCAAACCACAAAACAAATGTTTCCGGACAGAATTGTTCACCATTTCATGGCCCCTGCTTCACCAACCGGATGGTTTGGCTCGTGCTTCATGAAACTCGGCTGGTTCGTCGAAGACAAAAGCCTAGCCCACATTCTATCAGTGATCACCACCTGGTTCTGTCTCTCTGTGATCCTCTACACAATATTCAAAACCCTACTGTCAGGAATCCCACATCGATAAATTGTAAGAGATGCTCTGGTTGATCCGAGATCATGGGATAAAAAAGATTGAAACTTTTGATTCTCTGAGACTCACATAGAAGGGAATGTAAGTATGTCTTCCATTGACAAGGCCAACGGTGAAGCCATTGTAACCAGCCATCACTCCATGAACTGCGCTTTGAGCTAATAGCGTGCAGCATACATTGTCTGATGCATTGCTTGGTACAGCCCGTATCATGTAGGTTGGATCTGAAAGAAACCAAAACGTCTACCATTATTCCGCAAAAACGCAAAAGAAAAACTCATTAGATATCTATATACCTATGTATTTGAGGTTAAGCGTCATCTTCTTGGCAAAATGATCCTGCATAATAAGAAGAGAGGAAAGCAAAGCATATCATTTTCTTGGTCTTTTTCTCAAGGAAATCCTCTGTTTTACGGGAAAATCAAAATGTTAACCTTGATCCGTTGTGAGATCCATAGGCCAATGTCTTGTAAAAGTTTGTTTCCAGAGGCATCTTTGAGAGTTGTGGACTGCTCTTCGCTTTCAGCCAACAGATCTTGTCCCGCGCCTTCTGCGATCACAATCACCATGTGACCATTCTCCTTTAGCCGTTTATCAATAAACTCAAAAAGCCCGCCTTGGCCTTCAAGAAAAAATGGAGATTCCGGGATCAAGCAACAGTCCACATCTCGGCTGGCTAGAGTTGCATACATTGCAATGAATCCTGCACAAATCCTTGTAACGCATAAACAAACTAAACTTGGGTTAAAACTAGCTAGTCTAGGGTAACTGCTTACCGCTGTAGCGTCCCATTAACTTCACAAGACCAATACCGTTCTCAAAGCTTGTAGCTTCGACATGGGCTGCGTTGATAGCACGTTGAGCCTCTTCTACAGCTGTGTCAAACCCGAACGATCTATCGATAATCTGTATTTAAGAAAGAACAAACAGTCATTACATCGACCAACCATGAGAGACCACGATACTACATTGAAATCTCAATCCATTGTGGAAAAAAGATTTACAGGAATGTCATTGTCGATTGTTTTAGGAATCCCAGCAACTGCAACTTTGAGCCCACGTCTCCTAATTTCCTGCAGAGACAATCAATCAATCATTACAGAAATAACCAAACCAATGAATTGATTAAAAATGTTGTTGCCTACCTCGAATATAGCAGCTGCTCCTTTCTGAGATCCATCTCCACCGATTATATAAACCTGGACACACCCCAAAAGAGATAAGCATTTCGCATCATTTCAATGTAATTCTTGTTGAGCTTAGTTCATTCAAGAACCTGGTTAATCCCTCGATCTTGAATGCTATCAACTATCTTGGTGGTGTCGTGACCGCCTCTTGAAGTCCCGAGGATGGTTCCTCCGCTTCTATGGATATCATTCACTGTTTTCAAGTCCAAATGGATTGTGTTTCTCGCATAAAATCCTCTGTAACCTCCCTGAAACCGTTCTCAAGATTAATATCTTGAGGTAAAAAGAAATAGATGGCAATGCTGAAAGAATAACGAAACCGATTTGGACATACATCAATTCCAAGGATTCTCTTGACACCGTACATGTAAGATAATCCGCAAACTATCTCTCTGATCACAGTATTAAGCCCGGGACACAGACCGCCACACGTGACAATGCAAGCAAGAACATCATCCGACTCAAAGTAAACCTGCGTAAACAGCAAAATTCCATCAACGCACATCCTCTCAAGCTAAGACTCGTGGGGGTATAAGATGACAGAAATACCCTTTGACGTGGTCCTGCTCGGCGGAAATGTGTTCCCCTAGGACTATCAGGATGAACAACTATCTGCAAAAGGGCGAAACCCCAATCTTGATTAACGAGAGACAGATAAAAAAAAAAGAATGTTAATGGCTAAAGGAGAGAGTTTTATTTACCTTTTGAGGAACCGTGTCATCATCATCGACGAAATACTGCCTGAAAACACATTGGATTTGATCAATTTAAGATGCTAATTAACCGGTAAAAGGTTACAGATTTCTGAACTGAATAAGCTATTGATTCAATCACAAGGCAAAAAAAGCAACGAACTTTGAAAGAAAGCTAAGTTTCCCGAGGTAAAGCAAACGGTCACTTACTTAACAACAGAGTAAGCAGCGTTGTCTTGTAATGGATTTGGATATGTCTGAAGCATCACATGACACAAATAATCGATCAAATAAGAGAAGTAATCAAAACAATTTGGGCCTAATAAAGAAACGTCACGGATACTCAAAACAGTAAAGTTTCAGACTTTTTTCCCCGCTCGCATTTTCAGAATTCACATATCGATTAAAAATTAAAAAACAGAGTGACGTACAGGAGCATTTGGGAAGTAATCGGAGAAATGAGGAACGTCTTCAAGAACATAACCGGCGGGACCAGTAACAATCTTCCGGTCGGAGTTTAGGGCAGAAGTTGCCATTACCAACCTTGTCGGAGACTCGAATCTCTGATTACCCGAAAGCGAAACAATCAAGCGGAGACCCGAATCGAAGCTCAATGATCGATATTTCCTACTGATACTAGGGATTAAAAACCCAAATTGTTGATGATCGGATTCAAACGGCGTACTCCGATTTGAGGATGACCGGAATCTAGACGAACCCATACGATGAAAGATCGGAGAAAATGGTATTGCCCATATTTTGTTTTTAATATAGGAGGAACCCAAAAAATGGTTTAAGAGTATTTGACTTCAATTTTTCTCACACCACAAAATGCAAATTAAAAAATAGATAATAAAGCATTCACCTTTGAAGAAATTTGAGGAAGAAGAAGACGAAACCCAGATGGTGCAGTCGTGCAAGAACTATGGAGGAGTAAGCAGATCAGGCCATCACGGGCTTGTGGTGAATTTTGGGATGGAGAGGATAGTGAACAAGTGGCGATATGTTTGTGGTTTTTTTGCTTTTTAGAAGGAGATTCAAGACAAAAAAAAAAATATATATATATATATATATCATTTAAGAAGGGAAGGTGTAATCTGGAGCAAAATTAACCAACTCAATAATTGGAGGGTAATATTAAAAACTGTTAGAAAGATCTGGGCAGGGGTGTGTAACATTTTTAATCAACATACGGGATTCTTAAACAAAAAAAAAGTAAAAAAATAGACGGGATTTTAATTGATTTGGGATCAGGTTAGGTTTCCAACTAACGAAAATTTTAGAATACGGGATGTAATATGCTAAATATTTATTTATTTCGTTGAGAATGTATTTTTGAAGTTATTTTGTTTAATATGTCGTCGATTTAATTAAGTAACTTTTCATAAATGTAATAACAAATTTATTATTTAGTCAAAACCTGATAGTTTTTATTCAATACACCACTACTCTAATGGTTAGAAAAGAGAATATATTTAGCCGGCAAAAAAAATGAGAGAATATCCTGAAACTTATAGCCGACTAATTCGTTTCAGTATTTGTGTGTTGACTATTTCTGGTGAATCTATAGTAAAGAAAAGAACACTAGAAACTGGGATATTGTGATGTCAAAAAAAAACTGGGGTATTAATATGGTGTTGTATTACTATTTGAGTGTATTATTGTAGGTAAAGGTATGATGATTAATCACATGTGATCAGCAAGTAATGGCACTTTAGACTTATATATATCTACTTTCTTATGACATTTTTGAGGTATGTAAATATGTATAATATTGAAATAGAAAAAAAAAAAAAAAAAAACAAGAAGACCAAGCAATAAGCCTACAAGGAAAATAACTAGTAACTCTGGCCCAGAGAGCTTAGCATCTGTTTTAAACTGCCCATAGACGAGTAAGCTCGTAAGCCCAATCATTTTCTGAATCGAATATAGTCATAGTTTGCCTCGTCCGATATGTTAATTTCGTTTCGAAGATTATCCATTTATCCTTTTTACCACTGCATTTTAGTGACAATTGCTGTATATAAGTCTATAACAAGTTATGTCTGACTTGATCATTAATTTTCAATAGAGTAACGTGTAAATTTATTGTCCCTTTACTACTATTTTCAAAGGAAAATAAATAAGAGACTACATAGTGGATATTTTTCTCCGTTGTCTTCCGATCTTTTTTTGTTTCTCTGGTTTTTGACCCATTTATTTGGTCGTTTTTTCTATTTGCATGTCGGAAATTTTACGAGATACGTCAGACGATCTTTGATGTGTTTACGGTTTACCACATCTGCTAGAGACAAAATACTTAGAATACAGATCTATTACATCATGCAAAGGTTAAATTTTTATGTCTGTGGTTCTATTTATTTCGATCCTCTTATGCATTTGTAACCTTTTACGTTTAGCTAAGATAAATTAAGAACCTTATTTGTTTCTCCCGTATGCTTTGTATCTTCGTTTAGCATCACAAAATGTCAAATGTCAAAATTGAGATGATCAAGAGTCTAATGATAATTCATGGCATAAAACGAAGCTCAAATTTCATAGGTTTTGAATATTTCTCAAAATAAAAAAAGTTAAATCGAAAATTATGACTAGAGATATGATAATACCCAGACAAAGAGGCAATCATAGGCATCTATATGTTTTATTCAAGACATATCTTTGGCCCCTCCATGATTTCATTCTTTGACTCTCCATTTTTTTTTTTAATTTCCTTTAAACTAACAAAACAATAATTATGATTTGTATTCTATATATATACACAAGATTTTTATACATATAGGAAGGAATTTGTTTTTCTCTTTTTCGTTTGCTGCTTTTAATTTTACCGTTGGGATTGAGAATATTGTCTTTTGTGTATCCTTAACTCGAATCTCTTTTAGCGATTAAGCTACAATCATTTTAGAAATCGAAATGCTTTTAGTTTGAACTAGTCGGATATTGTTGTCGTGCTAATATATTCGATCCAAAATAAAACCAATAAACTCTAATATACATTGATAATTCGAGAACATCAAGATTTGCGTTTGGATAGTAACGTCCAACGGCCCTAGAATGTTTGGCAGTTAAATTCAGATTTTCGAACCATAATAATAATAGAAAATGTTCAAAGAGAGTTCCAAGATATAATCCAATCCAGAGAGCTCAACATAAGGATGGGCCCCTCGTCTGTGGAGCCTACACTAATCTTAAATTCATAGTACAACGTAATATGACACCTGACACTTTCTAGATTAAACCGTTTCAGGGTTGCTATAACTTGCTAATCGTATTTTGTGCGTCACCGGAAATCAAGAAAGTTCGTTTTTCCATTCGACGAAAGTTTTTCGTTTATTTATAAGATTCTGTTTTCGTTTATACAACGGAAGTATAAACGTTTCATTTCAAAATTATATTTTCTCTTGTTTAACGCAAAAAGGTCTTAGAAAAAGAAATAGAGAGAGTATAAAACAAATCTATCTTCATTTTAGACAATTCTATTTTGGGGGGCAGAAGTCATAGATTTTTTATATTTTACGTTAAAATCTAAACATGAAGCTTTAACTGTAAGTTTAAGTGTACATACACGCTTCTTTACCCTTGTATATTATTTATTCGCTCTGTCCCTTCATTAGTTTTGACCGTATAATTTTATAAAGAATAAAAAAGCTGATGAAAGACCACATAAGATTGATTATACGATAGAACTTTATGATCATTACGGTCAAGAATACTCGAAAATACTGAAACAAAAAATGGAGTATTTACGAAATTATGATAGATAATGCAATAAATATGTTTTAAGAACAGATACTACTTTCCCCAAAAAAAAAAGACAGATACTACTTTAATTAACAAGCGTAATATTTTAAGATTACTTCACTAAACATTTTTATGGGTCTGAAAACATTGGGAAAATGAGACTATTGTCTGATTTGAAACACATGTAAAAAAAGGTATAATTGCCATGATTTCATAATTCATGCTAACGTAAACGGATCTCCTCCGGAGACCATATAATAATATATAAAACAAATTCACAACCAAAAAGCATTCGCTATTCGTATACAGCAATAATTTTTAAAACTACGAAACACGAAAATATATAATAAATAAGAAAAATAAGAGATGGTGTGGTCCATATGATGGGTACACTGCTCAAATTGCCTTACTTATCAAGCAACCTCTTAATTCCTTTCTCTTTGCATAAAATTGAAATTAAAATAATCAAAAAATGAAAACCAAATTTGAATAACAAAAGAATAATGATCACCTCCTCCAGCTCGATGCCCATGTGACCTCTCTTCCTCTTCTCGTCTTTTTTTTTTCACTTCTTTTTACTTTATTTTTATTTTATTTATCCTCCAATGTTCTTAACCTTGCACAAATAAAAAATTACTCGCTTAATTCCTTAACTAGAAGTTCTTAGAGGTTTTGACGGTGACTATACGCTAATCCTATAAAAAATATTACTTAGTAAAGTGGAGTAATTATACTGATAACAAATTAGTTTTAATATAGAGAGAATTGTTAAAATAGTACATTTGTATATATATACAACAAAGGATTAAGATTCTCGTTTACCAAAAAACAGGATTAAGATTCTCAGTTATATAATTATTTTACTTAAAACTATATATTTACATATGGAGTACAGACACACAACGGATACGTTTATTATACTCCCATATGCATTTTTATTTTTTATTTTTTATTTTTGAAATTTCAGAATCTAAAAAGACACAACTTTGTTAAAGTTTACAATAATGAAAATCACATTTTCCTATACAAAACTCACATTTAACCATAAAGATGATACAGTTTTGATATCTTTTCAGGATATATAAAATGCAATATATGTACAATCACAGAAATAAACACGTATACATTGTTGTACATGAAGAAATACATATAGAAATATTTTTAAATATACAAAAGTGTATGATTTGAAGATAAATGTAAACAAACCGCTTCAAAGACTCATAGCGGCTTCTTAAACCAGCAAAGGCAAAATAAAAGGGGGGTCAGTGAATGGGTTTCAGAGCCACCTTTTCCTTTTTCTCGCTTACTTCTTCAGTTAAAGTTCGATATAGACATATATACACACATCTATAATATGTTATACTATAACTTAATTAATTAATTCCCTACAAAAATATCTCTCGTATGTTTTTATCAATCTATATTCACATCCCAACTCTCACCTTTTTTTCTTCTTCTTCTTCTCCTTCTCCTCCGTCGTTTATTAATTCTCTCTCTCTCTCTCTTCTCTTTGCCATCTTTATCTCTCTGTCTTATTTTTCAGTACTGTCTAAGATCTTATTCTGCTCGACCAAGTTTGTTCTTTTTAGCATAATTTTAGGGCTATTTCCCCATAAATTCTTACTTTGTCTTGTTCTTGTGTCGGTTAGGTTTTCAAGAAAAACCCCCTTTTGTCTTGTCTCCTCAAAATCAGTGGGTTCTTCTGTATAATAAAAGAGGGCTTATTCAAATCTTCTCTCTCTAGCCACTCTTTCTCTCTCTATTCTTTCGATATATATAAGTATAAACTCTTGGATATGATCGGGAGAGCCTTGTTATTATCTCTGCACCTACACAAGACGCATAAGAGAACTTAGAGATCGAGATGAACAAGAGTAATCCTACTGGCTCCGTCACTGGTTCGGATGTAATTGACGCGAAGATCGAAGAACATCAACTTTGTGGATCCAAGAAGTGTCCCAGCTGCGGCCATAAGCTCGAAGGCAAGCCAGTAAGTAATATTCTTTTTTTTTAATTATATAATAATTAACTTCAAAATAAGTTCTTTCTCCCTTTTTTCTCATTTTAGGTCACTTGTAAATGTTTTCTTAATAAAAAAAAGGAAAAGAATCAAATGAAGAACATCAAGAATGATGCTCTCTGTTTTATTCTCTCGCTTGTAGAAATTCAAAATCCAAATGTTAAAGCGTCTATATACGAGTCTTTATATGTATAGTTGTATATACTTATATTCTCTTGTTCTTTTTCTTTATTTTTAAATTATATTTTCTCTTTTATTCCTTTTTAGCAGGATTGGGTTGGTTTACCAGCAGGAGTGAAATTTGACCCAACGGATCAAGAACTGATAGAACATTTAGAAGCAAAAGTCTTAGTTAAAGACATTAAATCTCACCCTCTCATTGACGAATTCATCCCCACCATTGAAGGCGAAGACGGCATTTGCTACACTCATCCGGAGAAACTTCCTGGTATACATATATACACACCTTCATGCAGTCCATATAATCATTTATCCTTGTATAACATCTTCACTATAATATATGATTGTTTAATATGACTATATATATATATATTTATATATAGAGAGAGAGCATTGGGTCACACCAAAGTTTGAATCTTTTCTATTTTGAATACACATACATCTAATATACAAACTTCAATGTATTTATAAATCTTCCATATATGGAGTCCATAATACAAGTCATATATTATATATATATATATGTGTTTATCTTTCATTATAATATATGATTATTTGATATGACTATATACGGAGAATTGGGTCACACCAAAGTTTGAATAATTTTTAATTTGGGTCACGCAAGAAACATATAACTTAAAAGAAGTTTTTTTTTTTAATAAATTTTGGTAGGAGTGACTAGAGATGGCTTAAGCAGACACTTCTTTCATAGACCATCAAAGGCGTACACGACGGGAACAAGAAAGCGAAGAAAGATTCAAACGGAAAGTGACAATAATATCCAAGGAAGTAGTAGCTCCGGTGAGACGAGGTGGCATAAGACCGGTAAGACAAGACCAGTTATGGTAAACGGTAAGCAAAAAGGTTGTAAGAAGATTTTGGTTTTGTATACCAATTTCGGTAAGAATCGAAAACCAGAGAAAACCAATTGGGTAATGCATCAATATCATTTGGGGACACATGAGGAAGAGAAAGAAGGAGAGCTTGTCGTGTCTAAGATCTTTTATCAGACTCAGCCTAGGCAATGCAATTGGTCGTCATCTACAGCAAGCTTGAACGCTATAAGCGGTGGAAGCGGTGGAGGCGGTGAAGCGAGTAGCGGCGGAGGCGGCGGAGAGTATCATATGAGGAGAGATAGTGGAACTACTAGTGGTGGGAGTTGTTCTTCGTCTAGAGAGATTATGAATGTTAATCCTTCAAATCGATCTGATGAAGTAGTCGGCGTTGGTGGTGGCGCTATGACCGTTGCGGCTGCAGCTGTTGCGGCTGGTCTTCCGAGTTATGCAATGGATCAACTCAGCTTTTTTCCGTTCATGAAGAGCTTCGATGAGGTATGCACCAAATCTTTATCATTTAATGTTAATGTCTCATTTCATAAATTAACTAAATTAATATGCATATACTCGCGTAGTGAGTACTAAACATGTGACACACATTTTTTGCATATGATATACATGCATTGAATCTAATGTGTATTACACAAACAAACATACAAAAAATAACTCAAAGAAATATGTATTAATTAGAATTAAAAAGGGTAATTATTCTTCTAATGCATATTACAGCTATCCCCCCCCCACCCCTCCCAGAAAAGAAAAAAATCCAGTGTGATTTGACTATTTATTATATATGTCTGCTTCTTTTTCATGAGAATAGAAAGGTGAATGCTCTAAAAGGATGATGCTTAGAGTATTATTTGCTTGTATTGCACGTAAAAACAATGGTCATTTTCGTTGTATAATTGATAAATTTCTGATGGTTTATAATTTACAAAATATATTTTAAACATTCAATTTACCCGACGTGATAATAATTGACGGTTAGTGATAATCAAATTTTAACTAACAATATGACCTAAAGCTTTACCCGACGTGATAAAATCAGAAAACTATGTCTAAACCGCAACGGTCCAAACAAATAATGGATTAATAAAGTAATTAGAAAAACAAATATATATAAATATAAATATAAACATTAATTAGTTTATTTAGCAATTAATTGTTGTTAATTTTAAGGTGGCAAGGAGGGAAACTACGACCGCGCAAGCTACATGCGAGGATGTTATGGCAGAACAACATCGTCATCGTCATCATCGTCATCAGGCATCACCATCATCAACATCACATCATGTGGCTCATGATCATCACCATCAACAACAACAACGGCATCATGCATTCAACATTAGCCAGCCTACACATCCAATATCAACCATCATATCTCCATCTAGTTCCCTTCACCATGCCTCCGTTAATATCCTTGACGATAATCCTTATCATGTTCATAGAATCTTGCTCCCCAATGAAAATTACCAGGTAAGATAACTATTCTTTTCTACTTATAAAAAAAATACTATGATTTTATCATTTCTAATTACGTCTTAGAAAATCTCCGATAGTTGTATTATAACCCCATTCTAATTAATTAATTTAGTTAAAAAATATGACCAAGTTAGCTGGATATCACTATATATTATATAATCAAAATAGATTTAATATATGTTACTCTTGATTTAGGAGTCACGCACCTATCAAATTTATATAAGGGTCTCAGCACCCAATTTGAATTAGGATTGTGAAAGTAAGGTAATTAATTATTAGCTCATTTTTATTGTGTTCAACCATAGTTACCTAGACACACAGACACACGTATTCATAATTTCATATACATATGTATTTTTAAGTAGTAGAAATGGTGGTTCTTGCACATGTTAGGTTTTGAAGATATTTGCATGCATGTGACTTAACAATGATGGAACTACATAAGCATGCAAATTGGGTTGTACCAAAATCGATCATGACAAATAAAGTATATATAAGAATAAGATATCAGTCAAGAAAAAAACAATTAAAGTTATAATGTCTAATATATAATTATGCCTGATTTAGTCTAAGTAGATGTATCGAACTGACTACCCATTATCTAAAGCCCACAAAAGCTAAGTCACTTTTTAGTGCCAGCCAAACTAAGAGCAAGTAGGAAACCAATGTGGTCTTTGGTGATGAAGAGACAAGATGATTAATTAATTGTAATTTTTTAAGATAATGTTCTTAAAGAATTAAATATTAATATCTTTCTAAACTTACTTTTGTCTTTTTTGACTGAACAAGACACAACAACAACAACAGCAACGACATCAAGAACGAGAAGAAGAACATAATGATGGGAAGATGGGAGGAAGGTCAGCTTCTGGATTGGAAGAACTCATAATGGGCTGCACTTCTTCTACCAGTCATCATGATGTAAAAGATGTAAGTTATTAATCCCTTTTTTGACTCTTAGTTTCATGGGAAAATCCTCTTTTTTACCATCATGAGTTCCTCAGAAAAAATAATAATATAAGTATACAGTTTATATATTAGATATATGATTATTATCACCTAATTACAAAATTTCACGCATTAAGTAAGATGTTGCAGTCATCATACAAGGGAAACAGACTAATATTGGTATTTAAACAAATTTTTTTTCCTATAGAGAGTAGTCTTGGATTGTCGATTAAAATGCAGGGTCATGTAAAGTTGAATAAAGACAATTTAAAATGATACGACCAGTAATTGGTCGAATAACAATGCATGCTACATTTGAATCAAAGTATATTTTTAATTTAAAAAAAACTATCTTCTATGATTTTTTTTTCCTTTTGCATGCCAAGGATACATAAGACCACATATATTCTTTATATATATATATATATATATATATATTCATTTCTTATTTCATTCTTTACTTAATTGGAAAGAGATAAAACAGAGTTAAGTAAGCAAAACCAGAAAAGAAAAAGAGAGAGAGAGAGATGCGTTGTAGTTTGCTTCTTTTTTTTGTCTACCTATAAATTACTCTTTTGAAGAACAATAGAAAATTTGTCAGATTCTTCTCTTTTTCTCCTTTTTAAACATTTTAAAACTAATTAAGAATGCAATGATGGTGCATTTATACATATGTGAATATAATGTGCGCATATAAATGTAAATATTATAATGTCTTTTTTCATGCGTAGTACCTCGCGAGACATGTTCGGTAATAGACATTAGTAGATTTCATTGTGTTCTTGTGGGGGACAGCATGTCTGCACTCCTTCTTTTTTTCAAATCCGTCTGAAATTTAATGGAATGTTCTTATTTTATCATATATATTATATATATTTCGAAAATCTAATTATATATATGTAACCTTAACGACAAAAAAAATTATATATATATATGTAACCTTAATAAATGCATATTTGTAAAATGCTAACATGAGTTATACTTGGTAGATTCGGTTCGATATCCATGGTCTAATCCGGTTCATGTCAGTTTAAATCATGAAAGAACGTCAAAAAGAGTTCAGTTCGGTTTGGGTCGGTTAAGTTAGTCCAGTTTGTTTCTAACTGAACCGAATGACATGAACCTAGTTCAATTATAAATGCTTACACACTTATATAGTGTACGTATATATTGAGAAGTAATTTTGATTGGTGCAGGGATCACCATCAATGGGGAACCAACAAGAGTCAGAATGGTTGAAGTACTCAACGTTTTGGCCAGCCCCTGACTCTTCTGACAATCAAGATCATCATGGGTAATTGTGCCATTTTCCAATCTGATGATTATGACACACATCACAAAAAGTTGTTATCATGGTCATTGTCGTCGTAGTCATCATCATCATCATGATACATCTCCATGGAAAATGGTATATCGATCGATCTTGGACAAACCCAGTTATATATGCATGCATGATTTTGACATGGTGAAGGGTTTTTAAGCACCGCCACAAATCAATTGCAGTTTAGTTATATATTCAAGAGGATTTTGATATAAGAAAATTTAAAGAAAGGGAGGGGAAAAAAGTAAAAAAAGTAAAATAAAAAAAAAAGAAGCATGAGAGAAAAGGCTGTTATATTCCAAGGAGAAGACGAAGAAGAAAGCAAGGAAAATTGCATGAAAATCATCAATACCACAATATAAAATTAGATAAGTATATATGTTTATTAGATGTTTATTTTTACATCATTTTTTTGTTACATGAATTCTTCGTATGTATTTTCTTTGTTTTGTTAATTAGGACGAACTGTATAATTTAATTGGTTTTTTGTTTAATATATATGTTGGTAAATAATATTACTTGTTACTACTTTCCCTTTACTTATAATGAGCTGTTTACTTTTGGATAGATGTAGTGTAGTTCGTTCTCCTTTTAGTAATCCGATGCACTGAAACCCAAGTGTCTGTCACTTCAAATCTGATACTCGTATTAATAGTCCTTTTTTTTCTCGAAATGTCATGGTCTTAATGGTCTAGTGGGAATCTATAGATCAGTATTCATTACATACACATTCAATTAAATATCCGAAGATTAGTGGCTACATAGTTTACATTATTAGGAATTTAATTAGAAAGATTTTAATAAGGTATAATTATAAGTTAGCTGGAGAAGTTATTGTCAAGTACAACTGTGGAATGATAACGAATATATTTTTTAATAAGTTTAATAAATAGTCAAATATATGTTGAAAACTAATAAAGATCTGAAACTTTAGTTAATTTCTAAACATTAGTAAATTTTGCTTGAGTGAATTTTGGTTGGTTTGAAGAGGGGGGGGGGGGGAATTAAAATTGGTTCCTGTTTTGAAAATTTGAATTGGATTTAATTTGAATTGTGGAATAATGGAATATATACCTAAAGAGTACGAAGTAGTGTCATCTTACAAAAGCACTTGGCTATGTTTATGTTTGGACTCTTTAGTGTTTAATTCTGTCCATATAAAAATATATGTGTAAATCCACACTGCAACCTTCTTTGATGCTTTGTGCTATATAATATTCGATATTCCGCTCGTCTTAGTTCTAGCATATTATCAAATGACCCTTATAACGGCCTAACTCATCCTTGGATATTTGAAACTACTTCATGTGATCACAAGTTCTAATTAATTACTTATACCACTCGGCGAATATATATATATATATATATATAATTATGGCAGATCTAATTACGTACTAAAATATGTTGAGATTATGTGATCGATTATAATTCATGTTGGTTAAGCTATTATAGATTTTATCTTAGAAATGATCAATTAATTAATGTAGAATTTAAGCTATCACATCTCACAAGATTTAGATAACAATTATGAATATCAATCCAAGAGAGCAAAAATTTACTTGTGTTCATAGGACACTTACTGGGAGAGATAAAAGCAAAATCAACATGGGGAGAGATGAGATGAGAATTACCCCCTTTTTTTAGCATGGTTAGATTCTGAAATTGGAATAAAGGATTTTTTTTTTTTTTTTGTCGTCAGAATAAAGGATATACAGACAATACTTACCTTTATTTTTTATACTGGTTACTTTTAATTATACTATATTTTCTCTTTCGACAAGTGGAATCCATTTTGATTTTTCATTATATATTTTGAACTCCTATTATATCCCTCGAAATGATTTACGTACCAATCTTCATTTTCTTATAATTTGGTACTTTATATACATATAGTTATAGATTAATTATATATTTAAATAGGCAAATGGCATTGTCCGCATGCATTTGGACACGAAGTGACAATTGTTCTTCCTCTTTTATCATTTTTATGTATGTTTGTCTATGTGGACTCCATGATTAGTAGACAAAGAGTTTATTTAGTAAATGGAAAAGATAATTATGTTTTTTTTGTGTTGCCATAGATTTAAAATCGGATGATAAGAAAACGATGTTAGCAACTACATGTTACATTCGATAATAAATTTACTTATAAATTGCTGTTAGCAAATTTGGGTATAAAAATTTAACTTATGATTTTATTGAATATGTTGTTAAAAATACTGATGACATTTTTGTATATGGATACAAAAATAATTAACATGCTAAAATTATTGTGTAAAACCTTAAAAGACAAATAATATATAGATCTCAAGCTCATATGGTCGCAATATCAGTAAATTTGTCAATTGTCATGAATCTCAAAATGTTTAAATCACTAAGGTAAAAATATCCAAAACGTGTTTTTAATCATTTTGCTCTCTTAGACACACACAAAAAAAAAACTCATAGCCATTTTCTCAAATTCCTATAGAATAAGGAAATGATATAGCAATTTAGGGTATTGATGGATCTTAGTCGGTGGCCGACCAACTCCATATGGAAACAAATAACTGTTAGGACTGAGATTTCCGTCCGACTCCGAATCCCATATTTGGAAACAATTATTAGCATAATTATCAACAAACCAAGAGGAAGACGGGCCGAACCATTAGTAATGGATAATGGATACACCGTTAAAAAGAGGATAACAAAAGTCATGTTAAAATTCTTACGAAAATTACAAATTAACTACAGACCGTTACAAAATGAATTCTCCCCATGACTAGCAAACCCAATAAGTTGAATGGGTCCGTTAGAGGCCTGATTTCAGTTGAGTAGATTGTGCTTGCCAATAGCGTAATATTCTCATACATTATCATCATTTTCCATGTACGTCTAGGTTATTAAACCGAAACCAAAATTAATTATCCAAATCAGAGTCGAATCGAACTAAACACTATTTACAGTTTCACGACTTCACGTCATACATGTTTTGTTTGGTATGTTCTTGCCTAAAAGGCATAACCAACCTAAATCCGAAACTAAATCAATTTTGTCTACTATTATTCAAAACATTACGAGTCCGATTGAACTCGTATTTAATTTATTCTAACTCGATGTAAGTTTTTTCATTAGAAAAAGAAAAACTAAACCCGACTTAAAACATGAAATGTTCAATATATTTTCCTTTTCTGCTGTGCAAAAGTCATTTTCTTTCTTTTCTTCCCGAAATGAAATCACCAATGGGAGAACATTGGGAAGTAGGTGCACCTCAAATTTGCAAGCCGAACTTTGTCGGCTCTTTATTTAACTGCTTTAGCATCCACCTGAAATCTCACGCACTCCCTCAACTTTGTAATCATTAGACATAATTTTAGCTGTACGTAATTCAACCAAACATTCCTACTACACACACCATCAATCTTTTTTTTTCTTTCTTTCCAAACACAATATATGTATCTAACTCCCTGTGAATGCGTAAAACTGGTAGAGGAATGAAACAGGCTATGGTAATATCAAAATATTTGGTTGTCAGTACCATTGTGTGTTTGTTGTGTTTTTGTTTTATAGTGAATGCTTGTAAATCTACAATTTTTGTTGTTTAGCTCGATCAAGTAAAGTAATTTATTGTCGAGTATAAGCTTTCATCTCAATAATTGCATTGATATATATTTGGATTAAATGCATCCACACATTACTAAAAAATTGTTTGAATGGAGACACTAATGCATTTGTGCCACTCCATGTGATGCATTAAAATTTTTATCACACTCCCAAAATCTCTCTCCCCCACAAGTCAACAACACCATATTCACAGTCACAAGCTATGCCTTTTCTTATTTATAGCCTCATCTAGATTCTGTTCATATTTTTTCTTTCATTTATTACAACATTCTTGATTACTTCTGTCTAAAAGATTTGCAATCAATTAGAACTTGTATAGCATGTGTAATATTTAACCATTCTGGTTACCAAACCTAAAATCAAGGCCAAAATTCATAAACTACGTACAACCACCTTATGAAAATTCACCCAAAAATTGCATTAATTACAAAACCTTCTTGGGTCGCAACAAATAGAGTGGACAGATGCATAAATTCACTGAAATATGCATCCATTAAAATGACAGATGTAAGTCCCTTTCAAACATGTGATCCAATATTTAACACTAAAATACATATACTTTTGTGCATAAATTCATTGAAATCAATTAATAAAGTGGAACAAAAGGCAAAAGAAGATGAACCCGTGATATGATTTATGCAATCATAAGTTGAAAACAAACAGTAAACTCAGCAAAAACAAAGGCAAATGTGACATAACAACACAAAGAACAAATCAGAACTCTGTTTGATAATCTTGTCCCCTTAGAAAAGCAAATTTTCCTCCTATCATCAATGCTTCTTCAACCACATTCACTCTGTTTCATAATCTCACTCTCTTTCTCTCTCAAACCTCATTAATCCACTGAATTAATCACTGTTCATTCTCTTTCCTTAAGTGTCAACTCACAAAAAACCACCAAAAAAAATCTAACTTTCTTTCAGCTTCTTGGTAAAAGATGTCTAAGAAGAAGAAAGGCAGCGACTTTAAGCTTCTCTGTTTGTTCCTGCTTCTGGTTAGTTTGACACAGACAGATGCTTCTTTTGGTGTAGGAGGCGGCATTGGAGTCGGGATTGGCGGTGGTGGGGTTTGGGTAGGCGGTGGTGTCAACGGCGGTAACCGTTATCCAGTTCCGGTAACGGCTCCAAACACTGTGGCTTACAATGCTCTTCAAGCTTGGAAATTCGCCATTACAGAGGATCCTTCTGGTGTTCTAAAGACATGGGTTGGATCAGATGTTTGTTCTTACAAAGGGGTTTTCTGTTCTGGTCAGTCTATAACCTCCATCGATCTTAACCATGCAAATCTAAAAGGCACCATAGTCAAAGACCTCGCTTTTCTCTCAGACCTCAACATTCTTCATCTCAACAGTAACAGATTCTCTGGCCAAATCCCAGATTCTTTCAAATCCCTAGATTCTCTCCAGGAGCTTGATCTCAGCAACAATAGATTCTCGGGTCCTTTCCCTTTAGTCACAGTCTACATCCCCAATCTGGTTTACCTCGATCTCCGATTCAATAATTTCTCAGGATATGTCCCTGAAGCTCTCTTCAACAAGCGATTAGACGCGATTTTCCTCAATAATAACCAATTCGAAGGAGAAATCCCTCGGAATCTCGGAAACTCTCCGGCTTCGGTGATCAATCTCGCCAATAACCGATTTTCCGGCGACATTCCGACGAGTTTCGGCCTAACGGGATCGAGGGTGAGAGAGGTTCTGCTCTTGAATAACCAGTTAACCGGTTGCATACCGGAATCTGTAGGAATGTTCTCGGAAATCGAAGTCTTTGACGTCAGCTACAATTCGTTGATGGGCCATGTCCCTGACACCATCTCTTGCTTGTCGGCGATTGAAGTTTTGAATATTGCGCACAACAGATTCTCCGGCGAGGTTCCCGATTTGGTATGCTCGTTGAGGAACCTGATAAATCTCACTGTTTCCTTCAATTTCTTCTCAGGGATCAGCTCTGAATGCTCCAGGGTTAGTTTCGGGTTTGATTTCGCCGGTAACTGTATCCCCGGGAGGAATTCGCAGCGGCCAAGGCCGGATTGCTCCGGTTATTCCGGCGGCGCGTTGAGCTGCTTCAGGATTCCGACGCAGCCTTTGGCTTGCGCTGGGATAAGCGTGGGACTAAAAGAGAGCAGCAATCATTACACTTCGTCTCCATGAATGTTAGTAAAAGTTAGGATCTTTTTATGCTTAAAGACCTATCCTTTTTGTGACTTCCACTAGAATCAAAAATCTTAATTAGTTAATTCGTAACTAATCTTCTGTGTAACCGGTTTTTGCCAATGTTTATTTTTTTCTCTTTTGTAACCAGAAGAATTTTGTAGACTCTAATATAAGAAGAATATGGAGCCATTGTAATTAAAGCAGCTATTGGTTTCAGTGGATTTGAGTGAGTGTACTATTAAGCAACAATCAAAAGATTTCTCCGGATACTATCTTGACTTGATAGAATTTGATCAATTTAGATCAATCAGAATACATGAGTTGCTACTCAATACATGAATCAGAAATGAGCGATTCAAGGAATGTAGTACATCGGATTTGGGACTTTGAAAGAACGATCAGCCACGGCAAAACCTAGAAGATCGCTCCATTGATCGCCGGTATTGCCGTGGATTCTGAAGCCTTTCTCGATCAGTTTTGATCGCTGCTCCGATTTGTAGTTAGTAGCTGATTTCCCTTGATCTCCTGGACCTCTGCATTTCAATCAACAAGCTTTAGTTATATACCGGTTCATAGATTTAAGTCTAGATAACTTTGGAATCTGAAATTTACACGAATTGGATGTCTCCACTGAATCTTTTATAACCAAGAAGAACAAAGCATTTTGGTATATCTTACCTCAGGAGGAGCCTTTCCCAACCAGAATAACCGGCATCTCGGAGATTTGTCTCGGTGACACTCCTTTGGTCCTCGTCCCGGCCGGTTAGCAAAATGATAGTGAAACCAAGTTTCTTGAGTGCATTGTACAGTCTCAAGCTCGCATCAAAAGCTGGAGCTGTACCTTGTACAGCCCACTCATTGAAGCTACTGGACTCGAACGGTTCAGACCTAAACCCACCAGAAAAAAAAAAGGTTCCGTCGAACCGATCGGTACGCTAGGAAAAAGGTCTAAAACGATGCAAATACAACAGAACCGGATATCTTTAACAGTAAACCGGATCCAAAACTACAAATTGCGGAGACCACGTTACACTACTCCATCAGATTTCGGTTTGATATGATCAACGATCATCTGGATCGTTGATTTAATACGCATGAAGAAAAACAAAATCTAACGGCTGCTAACAGAGAGACCATACCCGTAACCATGTGCTCTGTAGTAGTCGATATTCGTGAGGAGCGTCTCGTCGATGTCGAAGATCCACACGTCGTTGCCGTCGCCGGAAATCTGAACCGTTTTAGCGAAGGCGAGCGCATAATCGGCGATGACTCCGTAATCGGATCCGTACTGATCTCCGTTGACATACTCGGAAACGGAATCAATGCACATAGACGGGATCACATCCCAGGTTCCGGCGTTGTTGGTCTCTGCGGCCAATCTCCAGCTCTCGCAGTAAGTGTCTGCGGCGGCGGAGCGAGATCCGTCGCTTTCCGGGAGCTTGATGACGGAGGTGCGAAGAGAATTTGCAGAATTTATCAGGAAGGTGAATAAAGAGAGGACGAAGAACGTAATTGAAAGTCCGCGAGGAGGAGGAGACGCCATTGGAGAGAAAAAGTGGCTTCTCCGAATTATTGGTATAAGCTTACCCACTTAAACAGTTAGAAGTTAGAACCAAAAAAAAACTTATTTAGATTTTTTTGTCTTCATTATTAAATTAGTGGTAATAAAATAAAAATGATTTTGAAAAAAAAAAACATGGTGATGCATAAACCACTTAATTGGTCAATATATATATATTTATATATATATATATATATATATATATATATATTTTACATTTCTTTGTATTTTACTATTTCCTAACATTTCCTTTTAGTATGAATGAAGATAAAATTCTTATCGCTGAGAATAGCAAGTTGGGATAATTATCTTCCACAGAAGATGACTTATTGTAGAACTTAACTTGTTGTCAGGAAAAAAAAAAAAGTTGGCAACAAGTGCACGACTCTTTCAATTTTTTGCGTTGGCATTTGTATAATAATTATTATAAAAAGAGAATAACTACTTTATGAATAAATGGATAGTTTTCTTACAACTACTAGAATATAAATATTATAAATGTTCAGAGAAATAAAGCATTGAAACATAAATCGTTCTAAAAAAGAAGAAGAATGTGGTACATTAAGATTGGTTATTTTCGGATCAGTCACGAAATACTTTCGCAACTTGTTTATTCATAAATAAGTTCTAAAATTTCACGTAACAGCGGATGATGAATTGATGATCAAGCAATAAAGTACATTGGATTTGGGACTTTGAAAGAACGATCGGCCACGGCAAAACCTTGAAGGTCACTCCATTGATCGCCAGTATTTCCATGGAGTTTGAAGCCTTTCTTAACCATTCTTGATCGCTGCTCTGATTTGTACTGAGCAGCTGCTTTCCCTTGATCTTCGTCACCCCTATATTAACCAAATTACAAAACCTCAATAGCTGTTTTCTAGATTAAACCGGTTCCTAACTTTAGTCTAGATGGCTACATTATCGTTAGTAGATTGGTAAACTAATTAAAATTTTAAGAGCCAAGTCTTGTTTTAAAATATAAAAACTTTGGTCAACTTATATTATAAGTAAATCTTAAAACCATTAGCAACCCAAATTATTTCTTATTAGTTTAAACGTTGATGGTAACATATTACTTGCAACCAAAATTTAAATCAAGAGTCCAATGCGCAAACCAATCAATTCCTAGATATATATATATATATATATTATATGTCCGTTTGGTAATGAAGCTTATTAAAACTAGATAAATCTTGAATCTTAAACCACAAGCAAGAGAAATATTAAGGTTCAAAAAATAAAAAATAAAAAAACAAGAGAAATATTTTGGTATAGCTCACCTCAAGAGAAGATGTTCCCAACCGGAATAACCGGCATCCAGGAGATTTTTCTCGGTAATGCTCCTCTGGGCCTCGTCTCGGCCGGTTAGGAGAATGATAGTGAAACCAAGTTTCTTGAGACCGTTGAACAGTTTCAAGCTTGCATCAAAACCTGGGGCTGTACCTTGTACCACCCACTCATTGAACGTTTTCGAGTTGTACGGCACAGACCTAAATCCACCAGTAACAAATCAACCAAACCGATAGGTACGATAGAAAAAACCAATGCAATTAATCTTAAACCAATGCAATTAGTCAGTAAATCATGATAATAACATTTTGATAGTATAGAGAGAGAGAGCATTTACCCGTAACCATTTGCCTTGTAGTACTCGAGGTTCGAGAGAAGTGTCTCATCGATGTCAAAGACCCAAGCGTCCTTACCGTCTCCACCGATCTTGATCGTTTTAGCGAAGGCTAGAGCGTAATTAGCGACTACATTGTAGTCCTTGTCGAACTGGCCTCGGTTGTAATAAGTTTCAAGGGAGCTAACACATTTTGAAGGAACCACCTTCCAGGATCCGGCATTGTTGGTCTCGACGGACAATCTCCAGCTCTCGCAATAGGAAGCAACGGAGGAAGAACGAGACTCGTGGACGGTGACCGGGAGCTTGATGAAGGATGAGACGCGAGAAGAGATGGCCGGATTGATTAATACGGCGAATAAAATGAAAATGAAGAAAGAAACTGAGATGCTACGAGAAAAAGCCATTGGAGCTATAGAGCCGTGAGGCTTAATCTCAAAATGTTATTGCGTTGTGGTGATTGAAGAAGTAGATGATTGGCCGCAGATTTAAAGCGGATGGGAACTCGTTGCATGTATTAAAGCACGTGATTTTTGCTGAGGACGTCGCATCAGTCCCATGTGCTTTTTTTTGTTTTTCCAAAAAATACACTGGCCAGATTTAGATATTGTATTATCTTGAATAAATAAGACAAATAAGACGTTTCCAAATATAATAAACAGTACTATAATGAAAAACTAAACGTTTAACGTTGGTCATGTATTATAAAATTCCTCGTTCTGCATCACTCTAATTATTTATTTTCCTTGAAAACACGGCATCTTTATACCAGACCAGTTGCTATAAAGTTTTTAACCCGCGTGTGGTGGTTAATTGCGAATCTAATAAATATTTTTACCATAAAATGATTTATATTGAAAATTTTGGCTTAATATTGTTACGTTATTATATTTCTGTTTCTCATATTAGTTTGTGTGTTTTATTTTTGGGAAAACATTTAACTATTTTTATTTTTACCCAAAAAAAGTTCGTTTAATTATTTTAATTCTACATGTCGCCGTTGTGTTTAGTAAATAACATTAAGATGCCTGAAATCTGCTGATTTGTTTTTCCCAAAATCTCTATAATTCAATCAAAAGAAGGGCTGAATTAAGAACTTCCAAATTTTATTCATATAGATTTAAGAAATTATTTTCTAAATCATATAACATTATCTTTTAATTGTTGCCTCTCTAACAATTATAAGTACAAACACAACTTGGATCTCCACCAACTTTGGTATCTTTAATGCATTTTCCAACTCCGTTATATCCCTCATAGCAGTTTAGACGACAATCAACAAGGTCACATGGATTTTTTTGATCAATGATGATAGTACATTGTTGTCCCTTAGCTCGTTGAACCACTGAAAATACTACAAAAGTAAAACATCATGTTGTGATGTGAAATAATATATATACGCGCGTTTAAGTATTTTATTTAATGTAAATTTTCATATCAAATATTACTATTAGATGTTTGGAAGTGGAAAGGATGAATTTACCTGAGAACACAAGCATGATTATGAGAAAATAAGAACAAGAGAACTTCGCCATGATCAATATCACAACAAAGAAAGTTACTAATGATTCGTAAAATAGAGACGATAAAAGAAAAGGTATTTTATTTGCTTTACTGTTTATTGAAAGTGGCTGTTCTAATGTGTGCGTGTTATATATAGTGGTGCATGATGTCTTTATTTATTATTCACATAAAAATAAGAAAATAGTAAAAGGAAAGCGAATAAATGTTCAAAAATGTAGTGTTTGACTATAGTGTGATTACTAAATATATGCACCTTCTCAGTTCTCTCAGTCTCACCATGGCCGAATTATAGTAATAACTTAATGAAAACAAAATTTAGACATATTTCCTAGAAAGAGTTTTTCCCTGTGCTTCTTTTATGTATATTAATATATAGGAATGGCGTTTTAATTATATCCCATTTTCACTATCAATAATAGTCTGTATAAGCGTTCATTTCATTTAATGGTCATATTATATTTGGAGAGTGTCAAAAATTTAGAAATATATAGAAATCTTATTATAGTGACTATTATATACATTTGAATGATTATTGATTTTTAAAATACGTTTCTCTAATCAATTTTATTCTATATAAACGTTCTTTCTCAATACCACTTTCAATATCAAAAACTTTCTCAACATACAATCATCGTATAAACAATCTTTTAACTGTTTTTTTGGGTCAAAGATCTTTTAAGTGTTTCAAAAGTCATGGCAAAACTACTGCTTTTACATCTGCTCATCTCCATGTTTGTTCTCTCAGGTAGGAATTCGTGAGCCTTGTATTTCATTGACCATGTCATAAAAATAAAAATATTAGTTAATCGATGCATTTTCTGCGAGTCGTGCCATTCTTCAGCCTCTTTACAAAAAAAAAAAAAAAAAACTACTGATACACAGATTCTATTAGATATACAAGAAAATGATCGAGAGCGTGGCTTGACGAATTACGTAATGATCTGTTATGTGGTGATAACTTGGCATCTAAATAGTAGTGTAATATATTTCAAGAATTGTAGGTTTACATACTTTTCAACTAATCATTTTCAAATATATAATATATGCTCGTTCGTTTATTTTATATACATAAATTCATTTGCTAGCTTTTTAAATAAAATTATCTGTCTTTTAGCTTTTTTGGCTTTGCCAAAGTGCGGAGGGAGCGAGAATATGTAGTGTGAAGTTGAACCTAAGCAAGCCATGCAGTTTTCAAGAATGCCAATATTGCCTTGACTACCTTTGACTTCATGTAATTGGAGGATTTGGTAATATTAATAAAGATCTTTTAAATATTCTATCTGATTTCGATGGAAAACTGAGTTTTATGTAATTAAAGTCGAACCAGTTCATTCTTAATTGACTCCAAGATTTTAACATCGTGTGCTTACTTGAACATCCGATATTTATCTAAATAACACAAAACCGGTGTTTATAAATTGCAACATGTTTGTTTTTTAATCACATGATTAATAAGAAAGCCAGCGTCAGTTCTGTTTTAAATTAAAATCCAACTGCCCAATCATTAAACCGATAGCCGAGAGAAAAGTTATATATCTTAATCAATTATTTTGAAGGCTCTATGTGCCTTTTTTTTTTGTTTAGAAAAAGGGTTTTAAGGTTCGATGTTTGTTTAGCGATTGTATTACATACTTCTGTTCTTTAATTTTACTGAATGGAGAAAGAATCTAGGAATTTTTTACTGTTCCTAAATTTAAAAGATACGGAAATTTAAAGATGTCTTATTCTTCTACCGATTTTGTGTGAATCAAATATAGCTTAGATAGACAAACGGAGAATATAGATGTCCTTGTCTAGTCATGTGACTCTTATGTACGAATGGTCAGGAATTGAAGCACGTTTTTTTTCACATCTTGATTTCCATTGTTGACAGTCACAAATCTAACAGTTGATCGGCATATACTTGTACGTATGTGTTTGAGAATCGTTTCATCGTTCATGAATGCATTTAGCTAAGTAGCTATTAGAAGACCTTGTTCATTAAGTTATTGATTATATACATGTGGATAAGAGAAATTTGTTCTCCCCCTTGATTCGACTACTACTGAAAGCAAAAATATTCATTCATGTTAGACTAGTTGGGTCTTGGCTTCGGATTTTACATATTGTGAGTCTGTCTAACGAGTTGGTAGACTTCGGGATTTGGAGTAGTCGACCTCCACACCTTGTCACCAGAATTATATATAGGGGAAAAAAATCACTATAACCCCAATTTCCTTATTTCTTTGAAAAACAACAGACCTTTAATATTGAGCAAGCTTGTAATATTTTTAGCTGTCTAACAGTGACACTTATCACCTTAAAGTATTCAAATTGAGGAAAATTATCTACTACCGAATTGAAATTTTGGATTTTTGGATTAATATTCGCCAAACAAAAATAAATCTAGAATATTTTTCTTTTCTTTTTTGACATAGAATCCCTTACTTGTCGTTCTGGGTTTTGCCGGCCTGTCTTCGTCGTCAATGTATATCTGATATAGTTATTTTTATTCACATCTTCTAATACCATCTGATTTTAAAATCAGTATACTGTGGTATTATTTTTTTAATTTGAAAAGAACGAGTTAAAAATTTACATTAATATTTTAGTTAGAACGGTGTGGCGTATATTATTTATTTTACTAACCTAAGATAATATCAGCATAAATAAAAGTAAGAAAATAATAAAGGGAAGGGAATTCGAATGGATTTTTATTTCCTCTTGATATATCTTCTCATAAAGTAAAATATCTAAGCATAACAAGGCCTATAAATAGAGAGAATATATTTGAATATTAGAAAGATGTATGATTTTTTTATTACTATATATCGATTATGTAAATTCACTATTTTGTTTAGTAAAAGAAAATTCCCTAACTATTTTGATCCTCTTCACATTGTAGTTTCAAAATATATTTCCTAGAAAGAGTTTGTCTAGCAGCTCTAGCTCGTCAATAATAGTCTATATAAACGTTCTATCTCTCTCCAATTTTTAATATCAAAAAGTTTCATTAAACATAAACACTCATTGTATTCATAATCCTCTAATTGTTTCACAAGTCATGTCAAAACTATTTGTTTCGTATCTCTTCATCTCCATGTTTGTTCTCTCAGGTAGGAATTTTTATGTCTTGTACGTACAGTACAGTATACACAAAATATGTTATAATAATCATATATTAATCATTGAAATCGATGCATCTCGACCGTTTAAGCAAAAGTCAAGTCATTCTTCTGTCTGTTTAAAAAAAAACAACTGAGAAAACCGATTTTTTATCGTTAAAAATAAACAAAATGATTGACTGTGACTAGACATTTTAGGTAGCCAATTGTACATACGAATATCACTTGACATCTAAATTAATATCGTACATTTTGATATTTTTCAACTAATCATTTAGATACTTATATTCTTTTGTATGCTCTTTTAATTTTGCTTTTGTTTCGTTTTATAGCTTTTCTGGCTTTGCCAAGTGCAGAGGGAGCGAATATAAGAACATGTAGTGTGACCTTGAACCTTAGCAAGCCATGCAGTTTTCAGGAATGCCAACCACTTTGTCTTCAAAAGTACAAGGGGAATGGCGTTTGTCTTGGAGATAACAACAGTATTTGCAGTTGCGTTTACAATTGCTAGCTAAGCTTAAACTAGACCGAAATAATTTTAATGGCATGGTGCCTTAAATCATTTGACCCAATGTACTTGGTGATATGGACCATATTGTCATACGAATAAGAACGTGCGGGAAAATACTAAATTTTCTTAACTATTTTCTTTAAAGTAGCTGAGTTATCTCTTTATCAAAAAAGTAGCTGAATTATTTTCACTTAATTACTCTGAATAACATTTTTTTTAATTAAAAAACCAGAGTAATATCAATTATACTATTACTCTAAGAAGGTCTATCAATCAAAATCATAGTGTTATATTTTAAATGCCGAAGGGTTTGAACATTTACTAGCGTACCATTTAAACTACAAGATTAACCATTTAGGTTTTGTTTTCACCCCAACTCAATATATGGCTTCCATAGGCTCCCCATCGAGGTACCGCAAATTCAAGAATATTACCAACAAAACCATTCACAAGTCACCACGTAATATTATTGCATCAACCGATGATCGTAGATGGTTAGGAAAGAAAGGATTGAGATCTCTCGAATATTAACTCATATCAATTAAAATCGTACATTCAACGATAATATTCTCACAAGGTTTTTAAAGTTATCTCAATAGCTAACAATTATATAGACAACCACAATTAGCAGGCCCGGGAACTTTAGGATCATCAAAACATTTTCCAACTCCGTTATACCACGTAAAGCAGAATTAACGGCAATTGACAAGATCACATGGATTTCCTTTGTCAATGGTCATACGACAACGCTTTCCCTCAGCTCTTTCAACCATAAAAAAAACTACGTACAAATACACAAACAAAAATTATATGTATAGCGATTATTATTTATTGCATTGAAAAATAACGTCCAAATTTATTACTTTGTTTTGCTTGATAATATAGTTAATCTTAATCTTAATCTCTTACTTTCTTGCTGGTATTTTAATTTATTACCGAATATGATCACATTTTCAGATCCTTGGAAATGGAAAATATGAAATTACCTGAGAACAAAAGCATGAGTACAAAGCACACAAGAACACGATGATAAGTTGGCCATGGTCAAAATTACAACAAAACTAGAGTTACCGATGTTTTGTAAAATAGAGGTGATAAGGAAAAGGCATTCTCTTTGTATGTGTTTATATATGTCTTACCATAAATGAGAAGATGCACAATGAAAAGAAACTGAATAAAGTTTCCAAAATGTTGGAGTTTTTCAGTTATTGGTCAACGTATAGGAAAAAGATAAATCAATGTCCATGATAATGGTTTATGCTTTATGTTGAGAGCTTCACATTTCAGAGAACATTATACAGGTGACAAGTCTTCACATTTGGGCCTTGAGTTCTCCGGCCTTGTAACCGAACTCTTTAGTTGCACTGGTTAACAAAAGTTAGAAAATCGATTTTAATAAATTTAATTATACTATATGATTCTTGATACTAACCTTTTTTCATCTCTTGTACATCTTTGTCATTTTTTTTATCCAGTTTTAACTAGCAAAGTCGCTGAATACATGTTCGACTTGTACGATATTGCATCAACCTAGTATTCACAAAGTTTTAGTATAGAACATTAAAGAGAAAATATACTGTATAGATATATAAATTCAAATACAGACAGATGTCAAAGATACTTATGTAATTATATGTACGTATAATGAATATCAATATGAAGAAATATAAAATAACAGTAAAAAGGTTGAAATCCATCAGTACTTAATTACATAATTACATCTAATTATAATATCACAACTTTTAAGCAATCGTCCCTCTAACAATTATAGAGACAGCCACAGTTATCACGGCCGGGAACTTTAGGATCGTCAAAACATTTTCCAACGCCATTGTATCCCGTATAGCAGCTTAAACGGCAATCGACAAGGTTACATGGCATCTCTTTGTCAATAGTTATATGACATGGCTCTCCCTCAGCGATTTGTCAATAGTTATGTTCTAGGTTCCTTTGGTCTGGGAATATCGATGTTTTCAGATCTGCGAAGGTCTCTTGGGAATCCTGTTGTCTCCCCAAAGCAGAGGGTGGCTTGGGACTAATGCGTTTTGCTGCTTGGAACAGAACTTTGTGTCTTCGCCTCATTTGGCTCCTGTTTTCGAATAAAGATTCCTTATGGGTCGCATGGCACAACTATCACCATCTGCAGGGCACTAGTTTATGGGCGGTTGAAGAATCTAGTAACTCATCTTGGTCCTGGAATTCTCTGCTCCACCTCAGGCCTCTTGCGGAGAGATTCATTAAATCTCAAGTGGGAAATGGTCAAAGCACAAGTTTCTGGTTCGATTCATGGACACCTTTGGGTCCTCTAATCAAAGTGATTGGTGGTGGTGGCCCGAGAGACCTCAGAATTCCCTTATCAGCCATGGTTAGTGATGCTTGTGACGATGAAGGATGGATCCTTCCTCAACCAAGATCGGATGCTGCGCTTGATCTCCAGATTCACCTAACCTCTATTCCTCTGCCAAGTAAGTCTCTCTCCGAGGATCTAGTTGAATGGGTTGTTGATGGAAAAAATTGTCATGGCTTCTCTGCAAAGAAAACGTGGAACTGCCTGAGGCCCAGAGCTCAAAAGCAACCATGGGTGGATGTGGTCTGGCACAAGCACGCTGTCCCAAAGCATGCTTTCACCATGTGGATCGCAAATATGGATAGATTGCCAACAAGAAAACGGATTGCTTCATGGGGTATTCAAATTCAGACTTCGTGTTGCCTTTGCTCGTTAGTGGAAGAGTCAAGAGATCATCTTCTTCTCTCATGTGACTTCAGTTCCCTCATCTGGTCTTTCGTCATGCATCGGCTAACTCCCGGTCACCAATTGTTTCATGTTTGGCCGGATTTACTCGATTGGATGCGTGGCTCCTCTACCGAAGCTCCAACCCTCTTGAGGAAATTAGTTGGTCAGGCAGTTATCTTCCACATCTGGAAGCAGAGAAACAACGTCTTGCACAACCAGCACTCTATTCCTCCACATGTTATCTTCAAGGCGCTGGATAAGGATATCCGCAACATCATCTCCTCCCGAAGACGGCGTAAGCACTTTGACGTCTTTATGTCGCTATGGCTGGAATGAAGCTCATTTTTAAAACTCTCAGTATCTTTTGCTACCTTGTTTTTTATTTATTTTTGCCAAGGTACTAAAGTGTATAGGTCTGCTCTCTTGTATAACCTAAACCTTCATTTTAATGATATTTGCCATTTAGCAAAAAAACAAGCTACAAAAGTAAGATTTTGACAAATATAATATGAGAACATATATATATGATATACATTTATCAGATGTTTGGAAAAGGAAAATACGATATTACCTGAGAACACAAGTATGAGTACGAGGAAATAAGAACATGATAACTTGGCCATGATCAATATCAAAGCAAAACAAAGCTACTGATGTTTTCTAAAATAGAGGTGATAAGGAGAAGCTATTTCCTTTTGTTTGCTTTTTTTTTAATGACTGTGGAGTAAAGCGCATATATACTCTATTCATGTAGTGGGGTTCCATTTTTCTTTGTTATCATAAAAAGAAAAAATATCCATAAATAAGAAAATCTTCTTTAAATAAAAGGGGAAAGATCATGAGTCTTCTCCATGCCTCCACATGAGCAAACATATCAGGCTAAAATAATTAGCCAATAAGACTTTGAAAAAGGACACATCATTTTGTACAAGCTATCAGAATGATCCACTTCATTTCATAATCACTAAAATAAAAATGCCTAATTGTGATCGCTAGGTCCACGTGGATCGGATATTTGAATTCCAAATAAAAGAAACCACACATCTTTTTTCTCCAAGGTTATCAAACGAAATTCAGGTTATTCACAATTCCTTTTAATTTTACTCTTGCAGAAAGCGACGACACATGTTCCCCAAAAATCAATGTTCTTGAACACCAATATACTATATCGCCGCCATGCAGGTTTTTTAGAAAATTTAACGTCAAACTCTCTCTAGTATATGCTTCAATTTCTCCTCAGATCAATAAATCATATGATAGCCGAGGAAGTAGACGACACTTCTTCTTTCTCCGCTCTGATCTTCATGTTATGGAATGTACGATGCAGAGGATGCTTCTGGTTCACGTCTTGGTGGAGGAGATTTGAATCAATCAAATTCGCAATGGTGGTTCTCTACATCTCGCCTAGATCGGAACATAGATTCCACTAAGATTGACGAATCGTTTATAACAATCCGATAAACTCTCACAAGAACAGAGAAAATAAGCCTCTCACTCTCCTACAAATCGATTAGCTACTTCACTTTTGTTTAGCAATGAGGCTGAATAAATGTTCAAAATATATGATATTTGTCCACCAACCTGTAGTATTCACAAAGTTTCAGAAAAGAGAAAAGATACTGTGTACATATATCAATCAAATACAGACAAATTTCAAAGATAATTAATTGGATTATTTTTAAAATAAATTTCATTACGAAGAAAAGATAGAGAATAACAATAAAGAGATTCAAATCTCCGTGACATTTTGTATTCCGAATAAAGAACCATACATTTATTCATAATGTCACATTTTTTCTAGAAATCATCCCTCTAACAATTATAGACACAACCACAATTATCACGCCCGGGAACTTTAGGATCGTCTAAACATTTTCCAACGCCGTTGTATTCCGTATAGCAGCTGAAACGGCAATCGACAAGGTTACATGGTGTACCTTTATCAATGGTCAAACGACATAGCTTTCCCTCAGCGATTTCAACCATTAAACAAGCTACAAAAGTAAGACAATTGACAAATATTATATGAGAACATATTATATAGATTTATCAGGTATTTGGAAAAGGAAAATATGAAATTACCTGAGAACACAAGCATGAGTACGAGGAAATGAGAACATGATAACTTGGCCATGATCAATATCAAAGCAAAACAAAGCTACTGATGTTTTGTAAAATAGAGGTGATAAGGAAACGTTATTTTCTTTGCTTGATTTTTTTCTTTTTAATGACCGTGTTATGTGTTATATATACTACTGATCAGGTACGGGGTACTCTTGTTTTCTTATGTTATCATGTAAGGAAAATATGTTCGCATATATGAGAAAATATGTAATAAATGGAAAGGGAAAATCGTTTGCAAAATCGTATGTTTGTCCTTTAAATTATTGGTCAACTAGAAAAATAGACTTTTGACTATTGAAAAACTCATTAGCTAATTGTAGGATGTTCCTAATTGATCGGTGTAATTAAATCGAGAAATCGGGTCAAAGTTTTTACATTTAAAACAATAAAACTATGCATTTATGGAAATAATAAAAGTGGGTTGATTAAATAATACAATAACTAATGGAGTTTTTTGGATCGAAATATAATTATTGCTTTTACACTTTTAAGATGTAACATCAAATTGAGAAATATGTGTATCGAGACATAAGTTGATGGGTCAACCGTAAACCAGCCTTCAATCATTGGCTATTTCCGGTACATTCACTCTATACCAGAACTTCTGATTAAACCAATAAATGAGATCAGAATAATCAACAATATTCGACAGGTTACGAAACAGAAAATGTTCGTTTTTTTGCCAATATCAAGCGAAGAGCAAACATTAAAAACCCTTTAGTTGTACTCGTTGAAAAATATTAGTACAATCGATTTTAATATATACTTATACTAAAATGATTCTTGATGCAAACCTGATTTCCATATATCTCATAGATGATCGATTTTATCATTCTTAATCCAATTTTGTTTAGCAATGTCGCTGAATAAATGTTCAAAATATATGATATTTCATCAACCTATTATTCACAAAGCCTTAGTACACAAAAGAGAACATACGGTGTAGATATATAAATCAAATACAGACAAATTTCAAAGATAATTTATGTAAATAATTCTAGTATAAAAATCATTATGAAGAAAGATAGAAAACAACTATAGAAAGATTCAAATCTCCGTGACATTTGTCCCGAATTAAGAAAGCGTACGTTTATTCATAATGTCACCTTTTCTCTAGAAATTATCTCTCTAACAATTATAGAGACAACCACAGTTATCACGGCCTGGAACTTTAGGATCATCAAAACATTTTCCAACGCCGTTGTATCCCGTATAGCAGCTATTACGGCAATAGACAAGGTCACATGCCATCGCTTTGTCAATAGTTATATGACATCGCTTTCCCTCAGCGATTTCAACCATCAAACAAGCTACAAAAGTAAGATTTTTAAAAATATGAAATGAGAAATATTATATATATATATATGTGATAGTGTATCAGAGATTCAGATGTTTGGAAATGTAAACATGAAATTACCTGAGAAAACAAGCATGAGTACAAGGAAATAAGAACATGATAATTTGGCCATGATCAATATTAAAGCAAAGCAAAGCAAAGCTACTGATGTTTGCTTAAATAGAGAGGTGATAAGGAAAAGTTACTTCTTTTGTTTGATTTTTGTTTCTGTTCTTTTTAATGACAGTGTGGTAATGTTTACGTGTGTGTTATATATAGTAGACAGGTATGGGGTGCTCGTTTTTATTTTCTTTGTAATTAAAAAAGGATAACTAGGTTTGCATAAATGAGAGTTAATATACAATAAATGGAAAGTGAAAAAACGTTTGAAAATCGTATGGTGGTCCTTTAATTATTGCTCAACCCAAAAAATAGGCTTTTGACTCTTGAAAAACTCATTAGCTAATTGTAGAAAAAATAAATCAGTGTCCCTAATTTAAAATGTAATTAATGTAATTAAATCGAGATATCGGGTCAATTATTTTATTTTATTCTGCCGTTATGAAATGCATGAATATTTGGAAAAGGAGAATATTTGACCCTAATGTTCATAAAATGAAAAATTTAAAAGATAAAAAATAAATGAATAGAATAGCCATACACAATTGAACCCCCCCCCCCCCCCCCCAAAATTAGAAAAAAATAAAAATAAATATGATACAAACAACACAAAGATCGTTGTCTGTAATTTTGAATTTTCACTTATAATAAAAAAATTAAATCATCAGAGTAATCATGGATCGGCCTTTGTTAAGTCAAAATGGACGTGTCTTTTGTCTTAACCGAACTTATTTTCACGAGAGTGAGCTTTGGTCGTCGTGACAAAGCTCCTTACGGAGCTTGCGGGAGAAGAGCTGACACGCGTCAACGCTAAGGTCAACGGCGGCGGAGAGAGCGACGAAGAGAGCTGCGTCCGCCATGCAAGTCACGTGCTGTGCCCCCACGTGCACCACCGGCTTGCTCACTTTCCCTTCTCCTTCGACGCTCGATCCCATTACGAACCCTTTCACCGGCGATGATCTTGCCGGCGACTCTCCTTGCCCACTCACTCTCCTGTCGATGCTGAACTTCCCTCCTTGTTTTGTGTTCATTGTCCCTGTCCCATTTGTATAATCCATTATTAGATTCGTTATGCTTATATGCATACCCTTATGTTAGCAAATCCTGTATTGTCGGTTGAGACTATTTGGGAATTTAATAAAATTCGACGCAGTAAACATAATTTTATATCTCAAATCTAAAGATTATTCAAAATTTATCTAAACTTAGATCGTACTTTATAGCATTTATTTTAATATTTTTGAAGATTTCCTAATCTGTTTTTGATTAGTTTCGGGTAATATCGGATCCAAAAAAAAAAGTTCGTGAATTAAACTAACAATACAATGCAATATTTGAATATGTAAAAGAAAAATTTACCAAAAAAAAATAATAATAATACTTGAAGGAAAACAAAAAAAAGTCAAACAGTGATGGAAACTTTTTGGTAACTGGGTCTTACTTGGGTAGTTTAGGATATAATGCGGGTAGGATAATTCGGATATATTTCTTATGTTTAATATATGTAACCCACATTATACAAATATTAAGCACTATTAGGACAGTATTAAAGAGTAATTAGTAAATTATTACCTTCTGCAATAGGAATGCCGGTGCTAGTACTGTTATCCCTCACGAGCTCGAACTTGTAACCCAATCCATCGATGGCTCCTCTCTCACGCCAAGCCTCGAGACGACCCCACGGTTTCCAGCTGCTTACACAAGTCCCGTGAGGCCTTAGGATCAGCCACGCGCCTGGGTTAGATCTCGAGACACGGTCTGATCCTGGAGACGCCACGAAAGGAGTGATCATCGAAGCTGCTGCTACAGGAGACCCAGACAAATCGTGGATCGTTATCATCCAACCTTTTCTCTCTCTCCCTTGTTTCTTCTCCCACTGGTCTCCTGATAGTGTTCTTGTGATCCATCCTCTGCTACTGTATGTGAATCCCGACGGTAGAGAGCTAAACAAAATTTCATCAAAATTGATTATGAACTAATTTTCACACTAATAATGTGTTCATATGATATAATCATGAACTGGTTTTGTGAGATTTTAATTACCGAGATCTTCCGTTACGATCGGAGCTGAATTTGCAGCTAAAGACAGGCTGTTTGATATTCCCTTGAATCTGGTAAACCACGGGGCTACATTCCGGTTCACCTCCGAATTGAAACACGAACCGAGGATCCGGTTCAGCACGGACCAATAAATGGAGCCGAGCCGACGGTTTGTCTCCTTCTCCACCGAGTTTCTTCCAACCGCTGTGAAACGCGACGGTTCTAGAAAGCGCAGCCGCGAGATCCACCGTTACTTCGACTCTGCCTAGAAGCTTACCGGAGGCGACGCCGCAAGTGTGGCCAGTACGGCCGGAGTAGACGGAGACTCGGAGAGAGATCTTCTTACCGGAGACTCTTCGAATCGCGTCGGCGTCGAGGTGGAATCCCGGAGCTGAAGTTGATGATTCCGGCGGAGACGAAGCGTCGGAGAAGGAGGAGAGAGGGAGAAGCGCTTTCTGTGAAGGGAAATGTTTGATTCGGAGCTTACAGTAACATGGCGTCGAAGAGGGATGTACTTCGCCGCCGATTTGCTTGTTCGTCGTCGTCTCCGGTAGACGCAGAGCTAGAGAATCTATTGTAAGCCGTACAAATGGACATGGATCCATCACAAATCAAATCCTTCGAGTTTTAATTGTCTTCTTCTCTCTTCGGATTTTGAAATTATTTAAATCTGAGAGATTGATTAGTTAGAGAGAATTTGAAGAAGAAGGAATCAGTTGGTCTTTCATGAGGTGAGGCAGGGGAAAAAAATGTGTCGTCGTTGCTCGTCGTCTTCCTGCTTGTTCTCGTTTTTGTAGCAACATGAGTCGTCGGGGCCCAGAGGTTCTCTAACAATAATTTCATTTCATTTGGTTTTGCCGTATTTTTTCCATTTTTATTTATCGCGGGAAATTCGGCGGCACAATAAAAACCATTAATCATTTTTCATTATTTGGTCATTTTTATGGTTTTGTTTTATTTATTTTTCTTGTTGAAGCACAAATGTATCATGATTCATGAATCTTGCATACTTTGAGTATATAATAAAACGAAAGTTTGATAGTTTTTTTCAGACGTTATTGAATTTAGTTAACAAGAAAACCCTTGCTTATCATTTTAATTATTCATTTTGATAAAGTATATTACGAAAGTATGATAGTAGTAGTATACGTATTTTTTGATTTTTTAAAATGTACTGAAACTCTATTTTTCAATTCTGATTGACTAAACTTTAAATTACGTAATGTAACCGTAAAAAATCTCCAACTTTTCGCATATTATGATATTATAGAATAAATTACATATCTAATTTATTTGGAAAAAAAAACAATTGATGGAAAAATAAAATAAATAAAATGATGGAAGAAACGAAACAGAGCAAGCGATAAGTTTGCATGGAGGGGTTCACGTGGGACCATTTCCAGCTGTGTTGAGTTGTTCGTGGGTGGTGTTACGGTAATTTGGGCTAACTATTGGGCCACTAATTTAATCTTGCCATATTAAAGATAAAACTATAAATTAAATCCGTCACCGTAACGCCGTCAGGATCGTCGGCGGGAGAGAAGGAGGAACGACGTGGCACCCGCTGGCTAAATTTTTGTCGTTTTGCGTCCGATTTGTTCGGCGCTTTAGATCCTCCTGTTTGTTGACGGCGCTTTTCAGACTGGTAGTTGGTGGCGTTTGACTGACATCAATTAAAATTGTTACCTTTTTTTTGTTTGTTTAATCCAATTATTATTATTATTTTTAAAGTGAATTGGTTATTCGAGTCAATTAACTCGTTGCTAATTTTATTTGTTTAAGTGACAATCAGAAAATTATTTTATATTCTCGTATCCTAGACAAATTATTCGTCATCAATAATCCACACCAAATTTTCAATTTTCCATTTGTAGAGTGATTACTGATTAAACGTGGAATTTGGTCTAAAATTATAACTGATCATTCCAAATAGGTAAATTTTCAATAAGTAAGTTTTGTTGCTAATATAGAAAAGAAAAATATATATAGAAGAATCCAAAGAGGCCAATATGTTTTTATTCAGTGACGCGGTTGACAAAAAAATCCAACGATTTCTAATATAAATATATAATATTATGTTTAAACAGGTAAAATGATAATGTATTTTAAAGAAGTGAAAGCTAGTAGTATAATTGAGGATTAAGTGAAGACGTATAAACGCAAAGGAGCCCACGTCCTGCATGAAGATATGTTAGAGAGACAGAGACCGACCTTGAAAAGTGATGGCTTATTGTCGAAGCAAAAGAAAAACAAAAATTAACTGACATTTAAACATAATAAAAATAAGAAAATGAGACATGACACATACGCATCGAGTGTAAACACATCATCGTTTTCAAGTTTATACGCATGTGTATGATATATTTTTATTGCCAACTAAATTTGAGTTGTGTATTTCTTTTTCTTGATTAAAGACTTTTGTCACGCAATAATTAAGGTGCTGTTCGATCATTACATTAATTTATAAAAGTAGTGTTGCTACTTGCTATATAATTTTACCCTATATTCATTGTGAATTTTTGAAAAAACGAATATGCCTGTAAAATTCTCCAGGTAATATGGTATACCATACTACTATCATAGTTTTTGTCATTTTTAATATAATCTCGATCTGTATATTTGAAAAATAAATTTGACGAAAAACAGAATGAGAGGTTAAAAAGTTAACAACTGATAACAAATACGTATAACTTAGCTGATGAAGAATTTTTTTAAAAAAAATTATATCTGTAAAGTTGCTATGATACAAGGATTTCAAGACGAAAGCACTCAAATTTTTGTATTTATTGTTATAATGTTCAGATCGTTAAATACCAATGAGTAACGGTTAAAATGATATTACCACAATAATTCCAAATTATATATGGCATGCAAAACTCATTCATACCATATGATTGATTGTTTGTGCAATATCTCACTGGGTTTATCCCAAAAAAAATGTTAAACTAATATATTGAAGTGGCACCAGTGTTAAAATTGAAATCATAAGTACTACATATACTCATACAATAGTTGACTTTATTTTTATAATATAAATCTTGTTCACTTTCTTTTTGTTTAAGGATCAAAAAGAAATGTATATGAAGCTTCTTTTTAATGAGTTACAAACTTACAATGAATTGAGTAGCTTTAACCCAATAAAAAAAAAAGGAAGAAAGGAATTGACTAGCGGAGAAAGAAACTCGTTGTTCATTAACAAACAAAACAAAAAAACTCGTTATTTGATGTCTCGAACAAAAATTATATAGTCGAGATAACTGTGAGTCTGTGCTTTGTCTATGTTGATCATGGTCGACATGAAGTTATACCATACATGACTAGACGAGCACTATATATTGACTTACTTTTTGTTATCTCACTATATATATTGACATTGCGATATTAATTCATTTGACGACTAGACATTTAATGATTAGCCTAGGAATCAACTAATGGTAGTTGAGTTCAGTTGTTAGTTTCATTGATTAATGTCAAAAATTATTGGTACAAGATGTCTGGAATAACAAAAAATTTCTAAAATCTTCAAAACTTATAAAGGTTTTCAAAAGTTTCTGCTGGTTCATCATCAATTAAGTCAGAAACAACGCATTAACATTTTTATTATCACGTCATAAAGAGATACAGTAGAATTAAGGAATTTTATACAGAAAAATACAGAAAGACTAATTATACGAAAACCTATCCACCCTAAATGAGTTATAGGAATGGTTCACGATTCACGACTCACTAGTTCTTTGACATTCTACCTTCATTAAACATTATGTAAACCTTTCAGACACAAAAAAATTAATTGAGTCATCTTCTGCTTTTCACTTTGATGTGTTAGCCAAAAAAACAAAAACATCTCGATCACGTGCAAAGATATGGCTCTGTATTTATAAATGTCAGCAAGGACATATCAAGATTCTCTTCTGTTTCGCATTTAGCAATATTAATAACAAGACATTTGCTCAAGCTGCTAATCTTGTTTGGCTATTTTTCTCCTTTATTTAATGTCAATATAAAAGCAAACAAAATATAAAACCATCAATTTAATTACCTGCTACGCGCTAGCTAAGCTACTACTAGGCACTAGCCCCTGATGATCCAACTTAAAACAGACCCCATTTCAATTTGGTTTTTGGATTCGTTCGACCCACGGATTCCAATTTGGTTTTGAAATACCATGTTCGGTCATTTTCATCCCGAGTTTCTTAACTAAGAAAAAAGCACAATTGATGAACATATGCAATTTTCTACATTTATATTCCTCGACTTCGAACTATGCATTGCTAAAAAAACCAGGTGTTTGAAGTTCAAATTGAGATACTAAACTGTCATTTCGTTTAGACTTTAGACGCTATATATTATTTGTTCGTCCAACTCATAAGCATCACTAATGAATTTTGAAGCCTCGACTGGCAGAAAATATTGTTTGACATGACATTAACAATAACATATACATACCGAAATTGCATGCTAATACATTTGAACTAGAATATTCTACGTTTTATCTTTTGAAACGTAACTATCAACCGTGAGTTTATATATATATGAGCATTGTCTTAAATATATTGAGAGTGTACTATATACTAATACAAACGCATATTCAGGTTAAAACAAAAAAATCGACATAAGGCCCTAGTTAAATGTGTCATTGTTCATTACGAAAGAAAGAAAGAAAGAAAAAACTTCCGACAATTAACATGCGAATTACTGAAACATGGATAGGTCCACCATTACTTATTTGCATTTTTGCAGTTTCTCCTTTTTTTGTATATTTTTTTCTTGTTCTTAAATTGATTTATTTTGTTCGCTTTTTTAGATGCATCTTTCTTAACACTTTTTTAGTTTGGTTACAAACATGTCGTTTTCCTTGCTCCCCCTTTTTACGGGATTTAACTTATCACAGTGTAATGGAATTGCATGTTCCTCTCTCGCCATTGGCAAGTCGCATTGTAATGTCTCCATCAATAGGTCAAGCGATCCAAAAGGACCAAGTCCCCTTTTTGCTTTTCCACATACATTTTAACATTGAAGCTATTCGTTTTCTCAGCGATAACGCGTATATAATAATACATAGCTAGTTATGGTAAAACTTACTTGCGCAGTTTAATTAGTCCTGCCACCGGATGCAAATGCGTGCGGGCTGTCGTTATTATCTATGCTTAAAATGAAAAAAAAATGAACCATACATTACGTTTTATAACTCAATAGAACGTTCAATCCAAAAACTTATCTTTTTCAACAACATTTTGTAGTATTAGTTTTGGTGATTTTACATTGAAACGTTACCGCAACCAATGCAAACCAGTTATGATTGTCTAGTAAAACATATTCGCTTCTGATCACTAATTAAATCATGATTTATACAAACTGTTCCATAACGTTTAGTACCATAAACACTCAGTTTTGATAGTTATAGCAAACTCAGTCAAATTCTTATTAATAGCGGTATTCAACCTAATTGTGATTTCCTAAAAATAGCGGTATTTAACCGTCGTAAAAAAAAATTTCTTGATGATGCATGCAACCTACTTAAATAGCCCCCAACGACCAATATATAAAAGCTACAAGGAACACTACAACGAAGTAGTATTTATAATTATATACGGTCAAGAAATTATCTTATAACGTATCTAACAACTCACATGATCTATCATGTCATATTTTGTATCAAATATATCATAACCACATAAGCACTGAACACTACTCTTAGATCAAACTTATTTTCTGCATATAGTCCAAAAGAAAGCAAGTGGCACATATACACAATGTGAACAAATGCATATCAATTTTAGCTCAGATAATGTCTCTGTATCTAGCTTATTTGTAAATCTTTAGTATGTATGAATATATACCATTTGTAGATTAATCTATAGTTTTATCGAGAAACTTTACTATCAAAGAATAGTCCAATTGGAGACATATTTAAGGGTAATTATCAATTAGTACCAATGTACCATGCACCATCACAATATGCACCCAATCATAGTAAGTTGTATTTAAGAGATCATTCTCAAATACTGAGACGCTTATCATCTTCAAATATACACATTAAAAGTATCATTATCTCAACATGAAAAGAAAAAACATAGGAATCTTCCAGTTCTAGACTTCTAGTAGAACAATATACATACAGCAACGATTGCGATGACGTGATCATGAGTCAGCAGACAAGAAGTGATACCGAATCGGGTCAAGATTATCTGGTTGGGACCCGTCACATGCACATGGACCCTCCCTACCTAATCCAGGGTAATTAATTATCTCGATTCTCTTTTAATTACCTTAAAATTTGAACAAATTATTGAAAATAAAATAATTAATCTCGGATCTTTGGTTCCGACCATACTCAAGAGGATCATGCTCACGACACAATGCTTAATTATGTTTCTCCAATCTTGATCTTCCTTGAGATTATATTCCCTCTTCGTTGCCTTTTCTTGTTTTTTTTTTGTTAATTTTGTAAGGGCTCCTATTCTTACATTATTTGTTTGGTAAATAAACCGAAAAATGGATAGGTGGGTTAGAAACTTGTAGTCTTGTATCAAGGAATATCAGGAATAAAATAGGAAAGTATTCATAAACAAAATATCTAACTGCTTATAACAAACTTGATGACTATGGTTTTGACTTTTGAGTTGAAAAAGAAAAACTCTAATTTACGCAAATAAAATGAAACGTTTGTAATGAACTCAATGACGAGATAAAACAAAAAAAATAGCGTTGAGTAGTTCACAAAAATAACCTTAAATATTAGCAAAAAAAAAAAAATGAAGAAAGTTTATAAGTTTTTTGTTTTGTTATCATCATATTAAAATTAAACAAATTGATAGAAATAAATGCAATTAGTTGACCTTGTACATGTAACTTTGATGCAATTAGTCCGGAGCAATTGGCAACGCCCTGCTATTGAATATTTTAAATGTAACTTTGATGCTGCGTATAATTTACAAACAAGACAGGTTGTTGGAGGTTGGATAATACGTGATCATCAAGGAATTGCAAAATTTTGGGGCACAGCAACATTATCAGTGGCTACTTCAAGTTTGGAGGCAGAAGGCAAAGCGATGTTACATGCCATTCCACAATCCTGGTGTCTGGGATTTGATTCAATCTGTTTGGAAGGAGATTGCAAAGTGCTAATTGATATATTAGAGGGCTCATCTGATAACATTTTGATAGCTAATTTAATACTTGATATCAAACTCTGGCTATCAAAATTTCGTTACAGTAACACTTCTCATATCAAACGAGTCTCTAATAATGCAGCTCATTTGCTTGCTCGACATGGCCCTCCAAACAATATATTCTTTTCGAATTGTACTTATCCTCCTTATTGGTTGACAAACACTTTGTATTCAGACTATATTCTTTCAAATTAATAATATAACTAGTTTGCCGAAAAAAAAAAAAAGTTGACCTTGTACATGTACAAACGACTAAAGCGATAGCCGATTAGGCGATTACGGATATGGTAACAATTAGAAAATGTTAGATACAGTATATCGATTTCGTGGTGAGCGCACATAGCCAATTAGATCACGCCAGATCATTAAATTTGTACCTAAATAACCACGTGGTTGTATATCATTGGATACGTTACGCAGTTGCCTAACAAGTGATTAGAAACCTGGTACGTTCTAAACGTTTCTCATTCGGTTTAGTAAGCTCAAATCAATTAAACTTCTTCTTCTTCTCTGCTTCTGAATCTATTGGATCTCGAAATCGTACCTCGACGAATATGTCTTCGCCTGGCGAGTGAGTCCTCCGTTTCTCTCTATTGACCTTAATTTGCTCTGTTTTACTTCGCGTCGATTCGATTTTGACCGAGCGATTTTGTGGTTGATTAGTTGTGTTCATGCCCGAGGTTTTGGATGCGTGTGCTGATAAATTTCATGATTTTACTTTAGATTCGTCTAGCTTTTGAAGCATTCAGCTCTTGTTTCGTATTGAGTCGATTGTATTTTGCAATACCACGCTATTTTAGTATCTAATTATCAAGCTATTTGATAGCTCGGTGATTTGAGATCTTAAGAGATATCGCGCCTATGTAATGGAACAGTAGAAGTAAACTAGTGGTAGTTCTTGTCACAAAATAGCTGTTGATGATGAAAGAAGATTACTTTCTGAGCTAATTCTGCTCTAGTGACAAATTTAGTGCGTTAGATGCGTTTAATAGTTTCTTATAGCACATGTTTTCTTATATTGTGGAAACACTATGTGCTTAGCTGATCTTAATGGCATGTAATTAGTACAAAGTTTTTAGATGGATGCTGTATGAATGCCTTGAGGTCACAATATTGTTTCTTATAGGGAATGTTATTTTGGTATTGTTGATTGCAGATACTATAACTCACTGCCACCAATAACCAAGGCTTATGGTACTTTGTGCCTCCTGGCTACAACACTCTCACAACTGGGCTTAGTTGCTCCTGTTCATATTGCTTTGATTCCTGAACTCGTCATTAAGCAGTTCCAGGTAAAGAGATTTTCTTTTATGATTTTCCCTTTCTTTGTCACACAACTGTTCCATTCTAAGTTTCTGATTTGCTCCTTTTTTTGTTTGATGTTTGTAGGTCTGGAGGCTGATAACAAACCTCTTTTTCCTTGGTGGTTTCTCTATCAATTTCGGGATACGTCTTTTGATGATGTGGGTATTATATTTCATTAATATATGCTGACAGAAAATGTTGCTTTCATTATTATAACATCCTCTCTAAAATGGCTTCACAGAGCAAGATATGGAGTTCAACTCGAGAAAGGGCCATTTGAAAGGCGGACGGCAGACTTTTTGTGGATGATGATCTTTGGATCCTTGACTCTATTGGTATGTAAAGCTCTTATAATTTATTCTTACTGATCATTACTGGTTTTTTTCTTAGAACTCTTAGTGTAGTCTATAGTACGCCACAAAGTAGATAATAGCCGGTACATAAGTCTAAGAGGTCCAAAGCCGACATAATCATAAGCGTTCAAAGATTTTAATCAGGATTTTGAGAAATGTTGTTCATATACGTGTGATAGTGTTGTGAATCCGTGTGTTAAAACTCTTACCTTGTTCAAATTATAGGTTTTATCAGCCATACCATTTTTCTGGACGCCGTTCCTTGGAGTTTCGCTTGTGTTCATGCTTCTATATTTGTGGAGCCGAGAATTTCCAAACGCCAACATCAGCCTATACGGTCTTGTCACACTTAAGGTATTGAAACTGTTTCTTTTGTAAGCATGTCCCAAGAACCCATTCTTTAAGTCTATAATATTTTAATGTTGAAAACCTGGAATAACTCACTCCACAGGCTTTCTACCTCCCATGGGCAATGCTAGCACTCGATGTTATATTCGGCTCTAAAATCATGCCAGATCTTCTTGGAATCATAGCTGGTCATCTGTACTACTTCCTAACAGTCCTTCACCCTCTCGCCACCGGGAAAAACTACCTGAAAACTCCAAAATGGGTGTATCCTTTTGATTCAAAGTCCTCTTTATATATCTTTCTTTCGGTTTCTAGTTTTATCTGCGATCCCTTGACATCATCAATAGTAATAAACTGGTAGCGAGATGGCGAATTGGAGCTCCAGTAGCAGCGGTTCGACAAGCAGGTGGTGTAGGAGCAGGAGGACCTGGAGCTGGAGGAGGAGTAGGAGGAGGAGGAGCTTATTCAAGTGCTCGTGCCCCACCCGAGAGCTCCAACACAGCATTCAGAGGTCGATCATATCGTCTCACCGACTGAAAATATTAAATCCTCTTGGGTTTCTTCGTTTTCATTCGGTATATGTTTTCCAAACAATGCCACTAACAAGTAGCAGGTAGCTTTGTGTTTTTTGAGCAGTACAGTTTTCAAATATAAATGACTTTGTAGGGAAAGAAATCTTTGGAGTGTTTTTTTAATCTAATGTTGTATTCAAATGCTTAGCGCCTTTTTTCTACACATCAAGAAGAAACTTGGTTGTCAAACAACATTTAAAAAAATAAAATGAAAACTATGAAATGGACTATTAACATAAGATCCCATTATTCAAAAAAGGTTTTGTCAATTAAGTGCGGTTGTTTTGTCGTGTCTAACAGTTGTATCCCTAACTAAGATTGAAATGGAGTTGAAAGAATAATTGTCACCAGGAATGTGTATAATATCAGATGCAAATCGAGACACAAGAGTTTGGCCGGAACAAGATGATTTAAATATTATTGGTTGACAAAAAGATTTTAAAAAAATGATCATTGATAATTACAACGTGGTGTTGGTGATCTCGTTATTAATAGGGGAAATCGGGAAAAAGGAAAGAAAGTAGACGTGGCAATTAGGGAAATAATGATGAAGCTATAACAAAGGCGAGACGTGAGCAAAACTAATTGAAAACAGATCAATTAGTTTTTGTTTGAAAAATTTGCGATGAACGGCTGAGTATTCGTGTTAGTGATCCAGCGGTTGAAAATCATTCTTCTGCATTCCCCTATATATCTGAAGGACGATGTCCACACGCTGCACATAACGCATAAGGAAAGAAGACAAAGAAGAAGGAAAAGAAGAAGAAGAAGAAGAAGAAGATGTCTTGGCAAACTTACGTTGATGAGCATTTGATGTGCGATGTAGGCGATGGCCAGGGACACCACCTTACCGCCGCCGCTATCGTCGGCCATGACGGTAGCGTTTGGGCTCAGAGCGCCAACTTCCCTCAGGTAATAACTAATAACATTGATCTCGTTTCGTGTTTCAATGGAGATTTTCCGATCTGATCTTTGTTTGATATATCCGCCTCGATATATTAGCAATGTTTGATATTTTGATCATGGATCATGTTGTTTTGGTTGCTTTTGATCAATCTTTCTATCTTGTTTGTAATTGGATATAATATAGGTTATTGATATCAAATTGCAACCGATGAAGTTTTGGTATAAACAATAAAGGATGAGTTAAACCATTCCATTTTCTTCTTTGATTTGTATCGATTTGAAATTTTTAAAAAAAGTTCACAAGAAGGTCATTTTAATATACAGATTTGTCCGTGCTGATACCAAACCAAGCATGTTTCGTTATTTTGGACATTCAAGTTCACATACTGTATATGTATTTTAAGGTCTACAATATGCATGATGAATGTTTCTCTAATCGTAGTCTTTCTTGATCTTTGTGGTGATATTTTTGGTGATAGTTCAAGGGACAAGAGTTCACTAATATAATGAAAGATTTCGATGAACCGGGTCACTTAGCTCCCACAGGGTTATTCCTAGCAGGAGCCAAATACATGGTGATCCAAGGCGAGCCCGGCGCTGTTATCCGAGGCAAGAAGGTAATGTAATCCATCGATTAACTTTGACGATCTGACATGTATAACGTAAGTCCGCATGCATGATCAAAAGATATTATTTATATAAATATTTGTTGGTTTGATGATTCTAAAGGGAGCAGGAGGCATAACCATCAAGAAAACAGGACAGTCATGTGTATTTGGGATCTACGAAGAGCCAGTGACACCAGGACAGTGCAACATGGTCGTCGAGAGGTTGGGTGATTACCTCCTCGAACAGGGTCTCTAGGCCCCGTCCCACCTCCTCAAACCTTCTAGAATGTTCCCACCTTCTACAACCATTTTTAATTAATTTGCCTCTTTTGGTTATTATTTTTGCTTTTTTTTTGGGACAAATTTTACTATTTATTCTGTTTATTACATTAATCATGTTAACGTATGTACTAAGAATAGAATCTATGGATTACAACAACTAAATATAACTAGTTTGTGTGTTTACAACTGAATTTGCAGCATATAAAACCACAGTTGGACGATTTATATTGTAGCATACTAGAATTTCAAAAAAAGAAAAACTACATTCACAATCTATAAAAATTCGTATTCAATGGAGTATGATTTCCATAAGTATAGAATTGAATCACTGTTATCGCACCACTGACTAACAATATATATCATTTTATAGATATATTTAGAACTGAATCACTGTTATATATCGCACCACTGACTAACAACATATATAACATTTTATAGATATATTTAGAATTGAATCACTGTTATCGCACCACTGACTAACAGCATATATAACATTTTATAGATATATTTTAGGCTATATGTTAACTAATATATAGTTAACAACATCACACATAAAGACAATGTGATCAAAAACCATTGTCGTAAGGTACTCCAGTGGAGTTAATCCACAAATTTCCTTGTAGAAATTTTCCCACCGTGAACTTCGCTGCTTCCTTGGGATCAGTAATTACTTTAAATCCCTTCCATTTGACCCGTTTGCTTGTATCAGCTCCAGGGCCTGTGTTTTTGTATTCCCGGTAAGACAAGGTGGAGAGACGTTTAACGTCGCTGGTCATTGGCTTATAACCCTCTGGCTCGATTAGATCGTCTATGAATGACTCCATAAAAACCACCCTTGATAACCTACCCCAGGGACGCCCTAGATACGTCTTTACCTTTTTTTTTATCGGAACTAGATCTTTACTTGCGGTTATATTGCACTTCTGGAACACAAACCCCGTGCTCTCGCTCGTGTCGTTCCATTTCTGCGCTGTTATAATGTTGGTGTGGCTTCTAATCGGGTTTCGTGGCTCGATTTGGCAGTATTGGAACACAGCCGTTGCGTCTCCACATATGAAATCAATCGTCCCAGTGATGTAACAGCCACGGTAAAATTGCCGATGGCTGTGCGCGTAGAGAGTGTCTTGAAACGCTTCAATACGACACCGATGGATAACTACCCTATCAGAGCTCACACGAAGAGCCACAGTCTGACCCTTGGTAGGCCCGGCCGTGTTCCGGATGCAAATATCTTGTGCAAGAAACCCATCCCCATCAACGGCTACATTTAAACAAACGCACTTTATTATCATTGGATCTTAAAAATATATATTATATATAACATGAAAATAATTAAGAGAAAACAAAAACATTTTGTTATAAACTTGCTCAACATAAGCATGAATTATAAGACATGTAACTCATTAGATATTTATAAGTCACAGGATTATAACATGTGTTGTTATTAATTTAGATCGTGAACTATGTGAAATGTAATAATATAAACTTTCAGTTTTTAATTATTTAATTTTAAAAGTAAAAAATTGAATATTATTGAAATAGAAAAAAAATAAAACAGCAAACACAAATGAAAAACTACAACATAATGAAAGTTATATTTTTTGAACATTGTAATTTATTTCAAAATATTTTTTACTAGAATTATGGATAATATGAATCAAATTTTTCATTTTTTAATTATATAAAATATAATTTATAGATAGCTTAATTATATAAATCATAATGATGAGGACTATTAGTTTAAAAATCTAATTATCTTGTTATGTTTCCATGTATCATGCTAATTTAGTTCTATATGAGAAAACATGTATTACCAAGGGTTGCGGTATCAAAGGTTCCGATGGCGCCATCTTTAGGATTCAAATTACCGGTGAGAATTGTCAAGTTTTTACCATCGCCTACGATGGTCAGATTCGTTTTTCTAATGTTAACAACTTCGTCATATATGCCTTTCTTCACATATATCACATATCGAGTTTTGCTATTGTCCGGTGCAGCTGCGATCGCCTCCTTCAATGTCTTGACGTTTCCACTGCCATCCTTGGCAACAACAATGTTGGCGTTTCTCTTGAGATCCTACAACAAACAGAGGGAATGCAACGAGCACATCTTCTTTGATTATGAGAAATAGATTTAGAAGTTGAATAAATAAAACAAATCCATCTAAAAAAATAAATATTGCTAGAGTGATCGTCAAATTAGTTACATATTGCTAGCTAGATTGATTTGATTAAAAGCTGTTACTTAGTTAATTAATATAAACGCCTAGAAGTGGGACAAAATGTTGTTTCAATTAAAGGATATGTTTTTAACTTATTATAAAAAATATATATATCTGTTTACTAAGCTTTAAGTTATAAGCGAAACAGATTTTATATATAACCTGTGAAGTGGAGTGTAGAAGCAGCTTCTTGTCCACATCGTTTAGCCAAGTAGGGAAGTCATCGATCGCCATCTCACCTTTCGGATCCATGAAAGGGATAACGAGACGAGATGAGAAGGCTAGGAAAAGGAAGAAAAAAGAAGTTTTTGCATGAAACTTCATTGTTAGAGGAAAAAAGACGATGAAATTTAGCAAGAAATTAGCAAAAATTTAGCAAAAATTTGGCTGATCCAGAAAAGTCCAATATTGCATGTTAAGGAGTTGGTTTTAGAATTTCAAAACAAAGTGGAGAATTGATATTTTTTTTGTGTAGATCCCCTCAATATCCCATTCTGTGACCATCAGACTAAATCTTGCATATGATGAGACAACAAAAAGAAGTAAAACCATTATATAAGCCAATGAAAAGTTCTTTCTGACGTATGAACACTAAATAAAACTAGATATGGACATATCTTCTTTTCTTTTTTTCATTAATGCTAAGAAATTAATATGTTATATTATTTTTATACTAAATAAAACAAATATTTATTTTATCCCAAAAGAATTGGCACGAAAAATGATTTAATTTGATTGAATAGCAGTACATGCTCCTTTCTAGAGTAGATATGTTAGCTTTAAAATTTCTAGATTTCTTTCATGTAACAAAAAGAAAAGAAAAGAAAAAAGCACATATTTGGATCACGTAGTTTTTTTTTTTTTTTTTGGTACCACCAGATATTCATTTTAGGTAATAGGTACTTAATCTCGAAAAATACCTTGAGAGGATTGAGCTTAGGCACCATTGTGATTGTTAGGAGGCAAATTCAGTCTAACGTTCTTTCTTTGTTTGATTTTAGAGGAGAACCTAGAACCAGTAGCTGAGTTATGTGCCATTTTGAACCAATAATAATAAGAAGAAAACTTATTATCGGAAAATCATTCCCATCCCATCTGTCTTTATTATGTTCTAACAGCTCATCGAGATATCGAATCTGAATTTCTTTCTAGTTTACTAAAAGATATATGTATATATATATATTATTGACATATAAACGAAATTGATTTCCAATTCATTCTTCAGTTTGTATCATACGATGATGCACAAATAAAAAAGTGGTCTTAAATAATAGTTGTTGACATAAAAAGGGTGAACATTAATTGTAAAGGATGGACAGAAATAAATCAATAATGATGGCCATACTTTGATGATATATTCACTATGATTTAGGAATTAAAATCTGTATTATTATTTATTTATGTAAACTTAGTTGAGATTCATTCTTTTCTCAACAGCAAAAAATTCAAACCGAGATTCGTTTTAAAAAATAGTCTTGAACGGTTTCCCAAATTAAAATATCACTAGACGTTAACATTTGATCAAACTGTTTTTATTTGTCAATTGTCACAGTTTTATGGAGTATGTTTTTGTTGATCGAATTATATACAACATGTACGTGCGAGATACTAAATGCTTTTCAGTTCACTTTATGTGAAAAATACATTTATTAATAATGTAAAAAGCTAAGAAATGAGATTGATGTTACATATAAAGTTTTTCTCCACTATCACATAACAATTATTTACCAAATTAGTTATGTTCACACATACAAACATATTTCTAAACGCTATTTTTCTAAATAATCCCTTTAAAAAAACATATTTCTAAACGCCAACGTAAATTATATTATTAAATTCATTTTTAATTGATGAAAAATATAATGCAAAATGATAGAGACGAAAGTATAATTGTTTTTTTAGGGTCAAATAAGTATAATGGGTTATAATTTAACAAAGATTAGCGACAAAAAAAATGACAAAAATCAAAATCTAGATTTATTTTAATAAATATCTTCCATTTGTAGTTGTATAATTAATAAATTCACTAGAACAAAACTTAACTATATATTTACTTATTTTTTTATTTCTTTTTGAACAAAACTTATTTTTTTATTCAGAGACTTTTTTTTATTGGATGCCAAAATCGTGTTATTCATATAAGCTCAAGGTTTCGTTCAGAGTCCACGCTCGCAAGAAGAGAGAACCGAGAGAAGACACAATCTCGCCGGAGAAGAAGAAAGAGAAAGATGTCGTGGCAATCGTACGTCGATGACCATCTCATGTGCGATGTCGAAGGCAACCACCTCACATCCGCCGCCATCCTCGGCCAAGACGGCAGTGTCTGGGCTCAGAGCTCCACTTTCCCTCAGGTTTATCTTCTTCTTCTCGCGATTTTTTCCGATCCTTCTTTTTGAATTGAGAGATAATCAATCTGATTGGATCTTCTATCTTTAGTGAATCTCTCCTTGTGATCGGATCTGACGAAACTCGGATCTAATTTGATTTGTTAGCCTCAATCCGATCATCTCAGTGATCGATTCAGTTTTTTTTTTTTCTCATGGAATCAATCATTTCTCTCTGAATTAATCGATCCACGTTTTCGTCTGATTCTGAGTTTTTCAGAGTAGTCAAATCGCGTTGATGTGTGTTTTGCGAGCTCAAGTGGAGACACAATCTTTTTCATTTTCTTTTCAAGTTGATCAGATGATAAGCTTTTACAAAATTCTTGAGACTAGGAAATCAGGGTGGTTTAAACTTGACTATATTTGCATAAGAACCATAATTGAGGATATTGAGATCTTAGAATCATTGCATAGCAATAGTTTCCTTGAAAATATTTACCATCATTTTGTTCTCTCGCTTCAAGCATTTAAAATCAAGTTTGTTGGAAAACAGTTCCCTTTGCTGAATATTGTATAACCACGTAATGATCTCATTTTGCCTATTTGTTCTTGATAATGTTTTAGTTGAAGCCTGAAGAGATAGAAGGAATCAAGAAAGACTTTGAGGAAGCCGGACATCTTGCCCCAACAGGGCTATTTCTTGGTGGCGCAAAGTACATGGTTGTTCAAGGTGAGGCAGGAGCGGTCATCCGAGGGAAAAAGGTAACAATTTTTCAATAGAACTGAACTGAACTCTACAAGATACCTTTCATGATTTTGATTTGAGTAAAAGAATCAAAAAGATCGATGTTTTAGCAAACAAAGTCTCTCTTTTTGTGATCAGCAATTTGATAATTTTCCTTTGCAGGGACCTGGTGGAGTCACTATCAAGAAGACCACTCAAGCCTTAGTCTTTGGCATCTACGATGAACCGATGACTGGAGGCCAATGCAACTTGGTGGTGGAGAGGCTCGGCGATTACCTTATCGAGTCTGGTCTCTAAGTTCACACAAAGTACTTCAAACCAATTTGAAAATTTTAAGGTCCTTCTTCACTACAGAATCACTATTCTGCCCTCTATTGTGATTTGATTGTTGTTGTGCATCAAACAAAGCTAAACGATACTCTTAAAAGATCTAAGAAACAATCATATTTGTGTTTAGTTTTGAGTCCCTATTGCATCTTATGATCGCTTTAATCTTTTTTTTCTCTTCCTTGTTCTGTATTTCTTAATGTATCTCTGGTTTTTGGGTTGGAGTAATGAAATAATCCCGGTTTGTGTAGCGGCCTTGATCACTTGATTTCGATCTGCTCATAAAATGTTGCCCGATTCAGGTTCTCTTAGTCTGTGATTTGAAATGATTACATTCGAACCACACAAATACATCACCAAGCTCGTCTTTCCAGCTCAGCGGTGTAAGAAATTACCGGTACAATAATTCACTCATATTCCGGTTTAGCTCACTACTCAAAACTTCACAGACATTGTCACCAAAGACTCAAACTAACTACAAAGCACGGTAACAAAACAGAAGCTGCAACAGAAACCATCATTTGTCTGAAAGCTTCATTGCTCGACGAAGGTGAAGCCAATGGCGAATCAATGGCAGTTATGTTTCCCGTTATATTACCCGCCATTGTTCTGTTCGTTCTGTGCAAATAACAACACCAGCTTTAAATTTATTAGCATGCTCGCAAGATTGTTAAGACTCGAGACAGAGAGAGAGAGAGAGAGAGAGAGAGAGAGAACTCACCCTTCAGAAGCCGGAGCAATCATGTACAGACAGTTACCATAGCCTGCAATCACAAAGACATTTTGAGACTACAAAGGCTTCATATTTACTCAAAGATGAAAAGTTTATGTATGCAAATACTTACTAGGGTCCTTGTCAACTTCAACACTGACTCCTCCGAAGCTGCAATCTAAGCTGCTCGCTCCGCTCTGCTGGTAATACGTATTGAACGCATACGATGCGTGTGATTGAACAGTGTCTGGCTCAAAGCAAGGTTGGTTTGGTTGAACAGCAGAACAATCAACATTCCCAGGACCACAAGCCCAGTCCAATGCACTCTGCAGATCCGTCACTGAAGCTTGCGATGAAGCAATGCACCATTTCTTGGTTCCTCCTCCTCCTCCTCCTCCTCCTCCAATGATTACAGTTGAGTTACCGTTGTTACCTGGACTTGAACTTGGACTTGGACTCGTTGTACCTGTGGTTGAATTTGTTGGAGAAACAGTGGCACTGCTTTCCCCGGTGAAGTCTAAGGCGTAAACATTCGTTCCATTTGCGTAGAACATTCCCCAGTTTCTCTCTGATTCTATCCCAGGCTTCCGATTCTCATTGAACAACGAGAATAAGTACACATCTATCTCTTCCCCAGGCTTAGCAGGAGTACCTAACCAAAGAAAACAAATCAGTTTACGAAATGTTTGTATATGTATCTAAAGAACATAACTTTGGATCATCAAAAAGGTCACCTGGATCGCCAATGACATGGCGGATGAGGTTGGTATTATAAGCCAGAGCGTTATCAGGAGTTGCAGCCGTCTCCTTAGGCGAGCCTTTGCTTGGCCACCCTGACTCAGTGACCATAACCTTAATGGTCTTGAAGTTCATAGCCGTCAAGGCAAAATAGATAGCATCAAGCTGAGCATCAAACATGTTGGAGTAAAGCAAACCCGTTGCAGGGTCAACAACCTGCGAAGATGACTCGAACAGAGCGTACTCCAACGGAACCTTTTCAGAGGAATCTCTGTAAGCGTAATACGGATACAAGTCGATCATAAAGGGAGACTCGTTCTCAACCAAGAACTCAAGCATCGGTTTCAAGAAAGCTGAGTGCTTTTTGCTGAAAGAAGCAGATGAAGGCGGGAACGAGCGTGACAAGATAGCGAGGGAATGCGAGCTCGAGATCTTGATCTTTTTGTCCAAACCGGATTTCTTCAGAGCGGTGTGGATGTTTCGCATCGCAGGCAAGACTAGACCAGTGGCGTTGTCTGGTGCTTCGGTCACTTCGAGACCGACGGAAATCGAAGTGATTTTGGTGGTTGGGTAATAAGGGAGGATGTTGTTGCGGAGCCAAGTATCTACATTGGATTGGAACTGAGCAAATGCGAGTAGATCAGCGTTGGGGACACCAATCATGAGCTCGATTCCTGTGTTTGCGAAAGCTTTGAGGACGTCGATGTTGGCGTCATAGATTCGGACAAATTTGATGTTGAGATGTTGGATTAGCTCGGATACTTTGTTTGGGCTTGGAAGATTATCTGCATTTCTTCCATAACATATCCCTATATTGCTTGCCATACCAAAATCTGCAACATTTTCACAAAATACATTTTTAGATTTCTTCAGAATCTCAAAATGGCTGCTTTTGGTTCTTAAATGTCGGTTCCAAACACCTTCAAAGCTAACAGATTCGAGAATTTTTAGACAAGAACTAGAGTGTAGTAAAGACAGAACACAAAGAAAAGCACCTAACTTTGACATCTAGAAGACGAATTAATGAAACCCAGAAGAAAAAATCAGATGTAAATGCAGACCCAAAGATACTAATGTAGGATATTCCCCAAAAGAAAGGAATTTGAGTAAAGACATACCCAGAAAGGCAAGAATGTAGACACAAATCCAGAAGATTAGCTTCAGTCTTTTACCCATTTTCAATCTCTCTGTCTTCTGAGTGCTGAGACAAAATCTCTTAAGTTTTCTACTTCAGTGTAGTGTTCGACTTCTCAGTTGAATCCAGAAATGTAACGGCTCACTATCTCAAGAACACTTGGCCTTAAGTAGGGAGCACAGAGTTCTAGAGCGAGAGAGTGAGAGAGAGGTGTTCCTCTGTAAGTGTAAGTCGTGCTTTCTCTATCAGAGTTCGGATTCCAGCTGAAATTATATAATAGGATTGATAAAAACGTCTCGATTCCGTGAATTAAGCAAGCATGTTTGCTCATTCTCTCTCTCTATCTCTCTTTGACTGTTGCAGTTTTACTGCCTCCGAGAAGAAACTCTTTTTCTTTTTTAGTGAATTGAAATAAAATAAAAAAATAACAATGAATTGATGTAAAAGAAAAAAATAACAATGAATTGAAATAAAAAAAACGATATAAAAAGCACTAATGGGTTCCAGAGCAAAGAGTACGGACAACAGTGCTCTGTTTTTTATTTGTTTTATTTAACGGTCCAATCTCCACTCAATGCAATTTTTGCCTTACCACACCACTCGAAAATATAAATCCAGTATGTTCTTTTCTTTAAAAAAAGTTTAGATTGAAGCATTCATGTTATCGAATTTTAAGCGGTGTGGTGAGAGATTGAAGCACTGTTAAGGCTATAAATATTCAAGATGATGATCCATTAGTATACTACTGGTTGGAACAATGAAAAGAATTCGTGTCAAAAAAACTTTTATAAAGTATTTAGCTGGTTATTACAAAAGATTCTGGAACTTTCATAAATTTAATAAGGATGGTGTTTTGTATACCAACGTCGAATTTAACTGTTTTTGAACTTAATAACAAGAAGAAAAATATAAAATAACAAGTCACTTCTATATCTAATCAAGATATCGACCAAAATGAAAATGAATAATCATTTTTCAAATTATCATCATGGAAAGAAGTGAACCAAGAATTGGATAAACTTTTTTACTCTTGTGTAGAAAATAGCGATTGGTTTTATCACTAGTATATGCCAGTCTCAAATAACAATAGAAACACATTAAAAAAAAAAAAGAAGAACTTTAATATCGTTGTTTTTCTTTTTGGGGGTATACGTATAATGTGATAATGCGGGTTCATTTAGACTTTAGTTTTCGTTATGTAGGCGACGCATTTTTTCGGACTTGAGCTCACAAGACGTTGAGTAGAAGATTGCTTGACCTAGACCGTTACACTATATTATATACATGTCGCAGCCGCCAGCCACCGTGACAAGCTTTTTTGCAAGAAATCAATTATATATCTCAAATTATCATTCTCATTCTTTTGTAATTATTTTTTGAGCTAATATAACCACACACCAAAAACAAAAATTAAAGTCAATGCCAAGGAATAGAGGTATCCATTTTTGGTGGGTTGCCTAGTATTAGCTCAAAAAATAATTAACAAAGATACACATGTAGATTCAATCTTCACAAATACAATATTCCCTTTTTTAGTGGGTTGTTTTAATATTGAATATTAATAATAGGATTAGTTTTGCTATTACGACAGGCACAAAGTCTTTTTATAAGATCAATTCTTTTTACAACCCTAATAGTACGCATTTCATCAAAACCCTAATTTACCTGCTATCTTTCATCTCCACCAACGACATGATCTCCTAAGAAAGAAAAGCAACGCAGAAGAAACTGAAGATGACGGTTCCTCAGCCACCGTCGTCGTCGTTTTCGTCACTACCAGACGAAATCACAGAGAACATTCTTGCACGTGTCTCGAGATGGAATTATCCGTGGCTCTCTCTCGTCTCCAAGAGATTCCGCTCTCTCTTGTCTTCCAAGGAACTCTACAAGACGCGTTCTCAAATCGGAGCCAACGAAATCTATATCTACGTAGATCAGTTTTCCAATGACAAGTTTGATCCGAGATGGTTTAGTCTTTGGCCAAATCGTGATCAAACCAAACGAGGAAGAAAGATTAAGTTTAAGCAGAACTCTAGTGGAAATCTTGTTGTTCCAATACCTTGTTCTTGCTCTTCTTCTTCTTCTTCTTCTTTCCATTCTCCTCACATTCAAAGAGATTCCATGGTAGCGGTTGGTTCGGAAATTTACCTAATCGGTGGATCCTACAACAGGCAGCCTACTTCCTCTATTCGGATATTTGATTGTCGGAGTCACACTTGGCGTGACGCGCCTAACATGACGGTGCCTCGGAGAGATGCGGCTGCTGTTTTCCTCGACGAGAAGATATATGTGATTGGAGGAGGTTGCGACAAGAACTCTGCCAATGGGTTTGAAGTGTTTGACATAAAGACTCAGTCTTGGACAGCCTTGCGGATTCCTGATGATGAGGTACGCAATGAGTTATATGTGTATAGTAGAGCCATTGTGGTCCAAGGAAAGCTTTATGTAATGGCAGGTACAAGGGACTACACGTACGAGCCGAAAGAAGCTAAGTGGGAAGTTGCAAGAGAGGAATCTAGTATCGATTCGGTAGACGATTCTTGGTGTGTGATAGAGAATGTAATGTACTGTGTCGATAACCAAGGATATTGCCGTTGGTATGACTCAGAGGATAGGGTGTGGAAAGTGATAAAGGGTTTGGAACAATTGCGTGAGCATCGTACAAGGGGTTTAAGAGCTTGTAGTAGTGAGACTGAGATAGCTAACTATGGTGGGAAACTTTTAGTTATTTGGCATCCCAATCATGCTTGGTTTAAAGGAAAATCAAAATTTGGTACGCCAAGATTTCTTTAGAAACAAGATGCAATGGAAGAGAGGTTTGGGGTGAAGTTGAATGGGTTGATGCTTTGCTTACAATCCCTCGCAATAACTATGGATTCTTACGTTGTTTCACTGTTTCGGTTTGACGACTCGTAGCTAGAGCTAATATGGTTAACTAGTGTTGTCACTTCATCGTAGAGTTCTTTTTTTTTTTTTGCTTTGAACTTGTTGTTTTGTTCTTTGAGACTATTGGTTTTTTTTCTTTATTATGGTTTTTTTTTTGAAGAAACTGAGATCATCTCCAATGGTGAGAAACCATATAGAGTTTTCATCTTATTTTTTAATATTTTTTGTGCTACTTACACATATATGTACATTTATAGGATGATTTTTTGTTTTTAAGCTTCCAATAGTAGGTTTTTAAATCAGAGTCTCTTGAAAAAAAATTTCAATCAAGAAAGAGAAGTGAAATGAGAAAAAAAAAAATTCTCCAACCAATCAAATGTTGCCACATCAGAGTCTTTCATCGGTTCTTAATTCTCTCTCAAGAGAATCGATTCTCTCCCATTAACTCATTTAATCTTTTTTTTAATCCAAAATTAGCATAAAGACCCCTTAAGAGACCACCTTTGGAGATCGAAGTTAGATTATTACAAAGAAAAAGAAGTTAGATTATTACAAGCTTAATTAACATGTATAGGCCTTATATATTATCAATATTTTTTTTGCATTTGTGTTATATATACTACTTATCTATTATATAAAAGTTGGGTTGTGTCTCACAATCTTGATACATCAGCATCTATTATTTTGACACATCAGATTTACAAAACAATTTATAATTTATTTTATTGATTTTTAATTTGTTTAGAAACACAAAAATCCTAAATCATTAAATACAATACAAAAAATTCTTAGGAACAATAAACTTCTTATCTTTTTTATTTTTTTTTTGGTTAAAATTCTTCTGCTTTGATTTTAGTGAGAGAGAATAAACCATTATTTATTCTTATTCTATTGATTATTGATGAAGATAGTCCAACAAAAAATCAAATGTAATTTGAGAAAACAAAAAAAGATCAACTGCATAATCTCTGAAAAGCTTAATGAATATCAGGAAGTCAACAACATAAAGTTATGGAACTAAAGGTGAATGATCATCTCTTTGTTTATAACCTGCATTTGGATTACAAAACTTTTAGTTTGTATGTTGCCTTTAGATTTTAAATCTTGACAAATCCTTGTTCTGTTGTAATCAAACTTATTTGTATGCTCAAAAGTCCAAATAATATCCCTTTAAAAGGAGTCAAGAAAATGAATACAACATATTTAAAGAAAAAAAATATTTTTAGTTGTAATGACTAATGATGACTAAGGAATTTTTGTTTTGTAAAAAGTCGTATTTCTCTGATGCAACAAATTATTTGGAAGTACTTGTAAAATTTACCAATACGTTTCTCTTATGCATAAACAACTTTAGACGTAAAAGCTAAAATTTGTAACCAAATGAAGGGAATGATAAATCTTATTAACTTTAAAAATTTGAAATAATACAACTAAAATAAAATCATGGAAGTAAGTAACTATTTTGGAAAGAAATTTAAATAAAATAAAAATCCCATAACTATAGAGTTTGAATTTTAAATTATTTTTTCGTATTCTATAATCTTTTCAGACGAATTTCATAATTTTAGGATTTGGATTTTTAATTTGTTTTCAATTTTTATATGTTTCTTTGCCTAAAGTTGTAGATTTGGGCTTATATGCCAATTTTCTGTACCAAAGTTTTCTACTTCTACATAAAACATCCCAAAAAGTAAAACAGATGTTAAGAGGATGAAATTGTGTGACCAAAGCCTCGGTAATCTTTTCAAGCATGCAAGTGTTCTTAAGATTTAGCATATTGAACTATGGAACCATAAGACGTCACTTTGAGAAAATTTGGGCTGATAGTTTTTAAATTGTCTTTAGTTAACGAATATTAAAGTTAGCGATTAAATTCAAATGAAAGATTTAGCACAGAAGACTATCTCCAACGTGAGATCTATAGTGATTTCATACTAAAAACTTGGTGAAGAAAAGTGGTCATGGGTTTAATACAATTTGGGATATCACGGTTAGAAATCCATTATATTCATTTTTGATTTCAGAAGAGTTTATGAAATACTTTACCAATTAAAATAGGAAAATCCGAATAAATTTATCTATTTATTTATAGGATATGCCTCTTGAGTTTATAACCATAAGTTGATATTTTATACTTAGTATTTGTTGGATTATCAACTCTAGATTTTGTTTAGTATAATATGTGTTTGATTAGCTTCTTTAAAGACAAAATAATAGCTAAAAATAAACTGATAAAAAATTTACTTTTAAAAGAACTAAATAACAACTTTTTTTTTACATGTATATGATAACCTCAAAAAAAAAATTCTGACTTGAGTTTATTTAAAACTACAAAAAAGCTTAAAAATATTTTAAAAAACATTAAAAAGACTCCGTGCATTTGCACGTGTAATCATCTAGTATATATAATATGTAACATGCACGTTATATTATAGTATTTTTTTTACTAAATGAAACTATAAACATATATGTTTTAGTGGAGAATCTAATATTGTAAACTGTAATATTAACAAGGTTACACAGACACACGTGTTTGTGTTAAGAATGCAAGAATATATATACTCGAGAGCGAATGTACTTTCAAGGCATTGTGAATTTGTGATGTTACGATCGAGAAGCCGAGCTTTTTTTCTTTATCCTTATTCTGTTTTAATCATATAGTACATTGTAGAACGAAATCTTTAAACTATAAGGGGGGTGTATTGAATCCATAACACTGGAATTTAGAAGAATTTTTAAAATCCATGTGTTCAATAACATATGATTTGTTATTTTAATTCAAATCACTCCAAATGTTAAGTTCAATATACCCCATATAAGTTTTGGCTTTGGGCACTAATTAACTTATTGACATAATCGAAATTATGTCAATAAGTTGTTATTTTTTTTTTTTATCAAGAAACTATGGAGCTAGATTCTTTTTTTTTGTCACCACTATGGAGCTAGATTCATAATTGTATATTAGCTACTATTATTTGAACTTTTATGATGTGAAGGAAAGTAAATGGAGTGTTACAGAGAATTTAAGTGTACTATGGTCGAGTTCTTGGTGCGTGATAGAGAATGTGATGTATCCTTATTACTCTTTCTCTAGGTAAGATTTAGAGAGTAGGACGTGGAGAGATGTGAAAGGTTTGGAAGTAGTGAAAAAGAACCGTAGTTATAGTAATGGTTTTGCAAATTGTATGGTAGAGTTGGGTAATCATGGTGGCAAACTCCGCAATATTTTGGGATAGGGTTTGAGAAGCCTGGTCGTAGTCAGAACAAGAACATTTGGTGTGTGGTGGTTGTGCTGGAAAGATTGCATGGAGGTGTGATTGTGGGGAATGTTGAGTAGGTCGATGTTCATATAACTTTTGCGTTGTCTATCCATTTCGGTTTGATGAGTACTCTCTAATTTTAGTCACTTGTGGAGTCAGACGTCATCCTTTTGCTTTTTTAAAAAACATGTGATTTGTTTTGCCTTGGGGACCCGTCTATATACTATCTTGAATGACTTTGGTAGAACAATTGTTTCGATTTGCAATTTGCGTATGAGGATAACAGATAGATTGTTACCATCTCTACAATTTTTGTTGGATTCAATGTAAATTACTAGTATACAAACTCGAGTCCTTCGATGCATAGGGTTGTTCATTCAAGGTCGTCATCTAAATAATGTCACTAGAAGAATTTGAGTGACATTTGTTTGTTTTTTTTTTGTTTGTGTTTATAAGTCTGAAATTCTAAATTAAACGACCAGCAGGATATATATGGCAGCGTTTTTGGTTACAACGGAGCTCAAAATTAGAGTGAAATTTTGTTTTTACTTTTTTTTTTTTTTTTAATATATATTTTATTTATCAACCCGAACCGGAAATTGATAATAGTTTACAAAGATAAAACCAGGCAAAATAACCTAACTAAATCGGATAACCCTGGTTAGCCGTCTGCGGTTCACAGTTGGAGAAGCGGTCCTCAAACTTCACCAAAAGGCCGACAGCGGCAAGCCGGAGAAACCATTTGCCATTGGTAAACTCTGACCCTAGATCTCGATCCGGTCAAGGAGAGAAACGCTAGAAAACCGAGCGCCTTGAACTCACCTCGACTCGCCGTGCAACCCACCGAGCCGCCACAACGATTTCCGCTACGGAGCTGCTTCTAGTACCCTTTGACACATCGATCAATTGCTCTCCCTCCGACATTTCGTCACCGCCATCCCCGAACGGATCTGAAGCGGTAGGAGCGAGCGAATCTGGATTGCTCTCCTTCCGACATCTCGTCACCGCTGTCCTCGAGCGGATCTGAAGCGGTAGGAGTGAGCGCACCATGAATAGTCTCAGAGGCACCGTCCACTGCTCCGCCTCGCCGCAGCGACTACTCCACGCCTCAGCACAGCCGGAGAGGAAAAGGGGAGACCTGGATTCACTTTGATTCTCATTACCATCATGAAGCTCGATCTACAATGAACTTACAGAGAGCCCTCTCACGGTGGCAAAACAAGTCGCCAGACCGGAGAGGCAGCAAAAAGATTTTTATGTGCGGCTAGGGTTTTGAGAGGGAGAGAGAGATGCAACGATTGTGTTTTTTAAGATTAGATCTTTTACTGTCGCTTGGAATAGTTTTGTTTTTGTTTTTACTTTTAAGTGAAGTGAGATTCTCATAAACTTGACCTGTATATATGATTTTCTTGCAAGATTGTGCGTGTCTTTAGAGGTATGGTGAGTGCATCAACATTTTCCTTGTTCTATTTTCTTTTTCCTCTCTTGCTCTGTTTTTCTTCTTACGAACTAATGTAAAGTGTAGTCAGTTAACTTAGGTCCATACATCTTCTCCAACTACACAGACAAAGGTTTGTGTAAATACTTGTATCATAACATTACCTTCAAGCCATGTTTATTTCCTTTATGAAAAACACTTTAACATACGATAAATACCTTGTTCAAGTCTGAATCAAAGATATAAATTGAAATAGAAGAAGAAAACTTTGCTTTCAATAACTGAAAATTTTCTGACATAAATTAAAAAAGTGAAAATCTGA